TCTCTAGTTCCGTTATTTATGTGGCACATGTGGCACTGGAAGGAATAGCTAGATGTGATGATCTGTTGTAAATGATATGAATTTTTGCCATTCTTGCGATGAACAAGCTTAGTACTTTTTCATGCAGGCCCCTGAGGAAGAAAGCTAAGACAGGCAAGCAATCAAAGATGGACAACTCATCAGCTAAAAAGTATATGAAACTGAAAGCAAATAGCTAACCAGTGTTGAAGTCTCTAAGAGAATTCTCTACTAATAAGTAATATTGTGCTTCTGATGTATTTAGGGGTGGTGGAGCTGGATCAAGCAAGTCTAAAGCTGCTCCTGCTTCCAAGTCCAGCAAGAAGTCCCAGGATGACAAAACAGCGAGCAAATCAAAGGAAGCTGGCAGAGAAGAAGAGGAGAACTCTGAGGAGGAGAGCGAGGAAGAGGAAACTCCCAAAACTGTTGGTAAATCAGGAAGCAGCAAGTCAAAGAAAGATATAAGCAGCGTATCGAAAGCTGGAAAATCCAAAGCTTCATCCAAGAAAAAGGAAGAGCCCTCAAAGACAACAACTTCTTCAAAATCCAAGTCGGGTCCTGTGAAATCTGTACCGGCCAAAAGCAAGACGGGAAAGGGTAAAGCAAAATCTGCTTCCAAGGCCAAAGAGAGCGATTCCGAGTCAGAATCTGAAGAGACACTCAAGGAGCCAGAAACAGCGAGTAAAGGGAAAGCAGGCAAGTCACAGGGGAGTCAGGCAAAGTCCGGTAAGAAGAGGAAGCGATGAGTCTCTGGCCTTGGGAAAGAGGCTTGTGCTCTTTTCTCTTTTAAATTATGGTTATGTAATTTAAGGTGGAAAGCTAAGCGTGTAGTGGCCGTGAAATTGAACGTCGTCTTGAGCAGTAGAAGTGTAGAATTGTTTTAAAGACAAGAAGCCTAGTAGTGGTACTTTTTTATTTACTTAGGTTTGATTTGTAGTGTTAAGGTGGATGCATAAGCGTGGTGGCTTTGGTTATTTTTATTTTATTTTTTGACCACGTTTTTCTGTCATCTCTCTCTCCCTCTCTTTGGAGTCCTAGCAGAGGAGAATAAAAAGGAAACGCATTCCGACTATTATTAGCCTGTTATCTTCCTAAATCATATAATACAATTATCTTTGAGAAAAGGGGCCATGAAACAAATAAATAAAATAGATGGGGTAAAAACGTAAATATGCACAAGTCTGAGGACTATTCGAGATTTTTCTCACAAAGAGGCATATCATCTCCTCAAATTTGTATTTGACTATAGTATTTATGTGTTGAGCTATGTATGTGCTATTTGACAAAAAAAAAGTCGTTTGAATGCTTTCTAATGTATGTCCACCAATACTGGGTAAATTGGCAAAGTTCTCCTCTAAAAATGCTACTGTACAAATAATTTTTTTTGAAGATGTTACTGTGCCAAATAACTTAAAAATATGGGGCAAAGTAAAAACTCTTCGTGACTGGGAGTTGTGTAGTCTTCTTGCATACTCACAGACATTTTCCTATTTAATACTAGGATTTGTTTCTAAATGAAACAAAGACTTTTATTACGAATGTAAGTGGTTTACGAAATGCTCGGAGATTCCTCAAAGGATACCCAATGTTTACTTTCCATATTTAAGGAATATTCCATTTACATTAGCCATACATAGGATTTAAAACTTTTATAGTATTGCCTTGCAATAAGGATCTTAGGCCAGTAGATCTGAGGTCTTAGATGGGGTTTTATAGTATTGTTTTGCCCATAAAGTTGCAACTTAACTATATTTCTCATTTTTTTCTGGAAAAGAAAAAGTAACAAACTAAGAGAGGTTTAATTAAAGCAAGATCTAGACATTAACAAACGAAAAAGAAACATTATTGTTATGCGTATAAAAACTTAGATGTAATACATTGGTGAATGGGATAACATCAACATGTGGTCCATGATCCCATATTCTCATTTCTCCCTTTTCTTAGAGGAAGAAATATGAGTAAATTGCAAACACACGATTCGTTTACGAAAAACCTAAATAGAAAAAAAAAATGATTTGCGCTCTTTGAACTGTTTTTATCCAAAAATAAATATATTTAAGAAATCTCTTTTGGTTTGTATTTGGGTAGACTACTAGACTCCTGAGCAAATATCTATTTTCTTCTAATATAGGTGATCTGCTTCGTTTTCGGTTTAGTATTTTTTCAATAGTATATTATGGCTTTGAATAGTATGCTGCAGACCGGACTAAAATCGGATCAGTTCGCACTTAATTCACTATTCACTATTCCAAACTAATATGCACTGTTGCATACTAAAAATTTCTATACTAGTATGTACTTCAGCATACTTCTCTATACTATCATAAATTTACTGTTAGTCCGCATTTTTTCATTTCACTCTCCAAAAACTCTATATTAACATAAACTCCATACCAACATAAATTTATAATAATCATAATTTAATCATAATTTACTATAGTAAATTATAATTTTGATAGATACTATAATCATAGTTTAAAATTTTCAAACCATATAAAAATGTTCGATCATAATATTTTCTAATATTTACTACACAAAATCTGTATTCGATTTTGCTTCTTAACTATAAAATGTTAATAGTTTTCTAATTATCAAAGTAAATTTTCTTTAGATAGAAATGCTTTACAATAAATAAACTATTTCTATAAAGTTTACGATAAAAGTATATATATTCTAATACCTATACAAGCATGAATTGGTATCGATTTGGTCGACAAAGTCATAGATGTTTTAATAGTTATTATATATATACTTAGCCAAATATCAATATAGAAAATAAATTTTTGTTATATAAAAAAAAAAAAAATTCTAACATATGAACATCAAATATTATCTTTAAAAGTAACCTATTTTAACAAATTATAATATTTTAATATAGAATCGAATATCAAAATAAATATAAAACTTACAAAAAATATTCAAAAAAATATCCGGCTAATTCCAAGTGGTAGGACAGAAATTGGCTATGCTAAAGTTGCTAACATAACATATTAAGAGACATATTTGTCATAAATTAATAACTAGGATAGATAGTACATAATACATATATGGCATTTCTAATTATTTTTAGACTTAAAGAGTCCGAGTTATGTTTTTATCTGTCATCGGAAAGTAATGAATCTGGACAGTCTTATAACACAAAGTTATTTATAACACAAAGTTGATGACGATTTACCTACTGTGTATCGCCGGAGACAGAGGACGCGATGAGACCCAAAGGAGACGAAAGGATTTTGGGTTTTTTGGAACAGATTCTTAGTAATTGAAAGCATGGAATGCTTCAATCGTCGAATAGAGATCGATTTTCGGGTAGTTTGGTCGGAATCGGCTTCAAATTTGATGAAGAATTACCTAATGTATTTCGCCAGAGACAGAGGAGGAGATGAGACACAGAGGAGACGAGGCGATTTGGGGTTTTTTAGAACAGATTCTTACAAATTCAAAGCAGAGAAGGATTAAATCAAAGAGAAGAGATCGATTTTGGGGTTGTTTAGTCGGAAAACGGCTAGAAATCGGACTGAAATCGGCCGTTGCTTTCTCGGTTGAAGATTGGGTCTCGAGAGAGAACAGAGACCAAACACTAGAACCCCTTTTTTTCCCAAATAAAATTAATTCAGTAATTACAAAAATTCTCCCCCAACCAGACACTGCCACGTCATCGGTACACCCGATTGTAACTTAACACCCGAGTTTCGGATCTAAGCCAACATTTGCATTTTTTTCCTTTTTTTATTCTAACACTCGACGACTTACACCCGGAGAATTGGTCCACTGCGTATGGTCTTAGGTCAACAAACACACAAAAGTTGTTGCCCTTTTCAGCCTTCACGCGGTTTTTTAAAATATGTTTTTTCCCTTCACAATTTCTTTTCTTATTTCTTTAACATCACAGAGTGCGAAATATACAAACTCATAAAAAAAAACTATATATATAACACTTTGTAATATATGTGTTAATTACATTATTGTGCAAAGAAAATCATCATTATGAAATTTAACTCGTCATTCTTTTTTTATTAGTAATATATATACGAATATTTTGAAAATAAAAGCAGTGCCCTGAATGGATTACACAGGGGGAAGGTCCACATTAGTGGTGTTAAAAGATCAGCATAAGGATTCTCCAACCATTTTCTTAGAACAAAATCTTGTTGTGCGAGGTATATGTTTTGGGGGATCTATCTTTGTATGATATTATTTCTTTTTTCTTTTTTGCTTTACGAGTGGAAATAGCTTCCAAAATTTTAGGTGGAAATAGCAAAAACGGCAAAGTCTGGGTGAAACTGGTGGTAAATACATCGTCGATGTGACATTTTATCTTGTTTGTGTTTTGTAAGATCACAAAAGATGAGAACTCAACCTATGAAATAATATTTCCGAAGCAATGTGATTATTTATCGAAGAAATGTGTGATCTTTTTACAAGATTAGAAGATCGACTTATAAGTGTCATCAACATGTTATGTGATCAATTGGTAACTTTTAAACTATCATGGTTTAGTAAATCAATTAGAAAGAGTTAAAACACCAAATAGTTATAATTTGTTTTTATCAATTGAAAAAGTCAATTCTATTTATTCTGTTAATTTGTGTTTATTTGCAGTACCTAGTTAGAAGTCTTTGATTAAGATTTTTTTATTTTTGTTTCTGACCAATAATAAATTGAATCATTATAATAAGAGAAATTGCACTATTTTACCACTATAATCGTGAAAGACCAAAATTCATTCTCAAAATTCAAGATTTTTTTTCTAAGGCTTGTCGTTGCCGTTTATAGGTTTTGAGATTGACCACTATAAACTGCAACGGTACTGTTGAATCCAATCCGTTCCATTCAAATGTCTCACTCGTCAGACATCTGTCCCATTGCATGTAAGAGGGAGAGAGAGAAGAAACAGACAAAAGCCCAAAAAAAAAACAGAGATAAGACTCTTCTTGAAGAGAGTGAGAGACAGAGGGAGATAAGGTTTTTTTTTTCCTTCTTTAACAGATTCTTCCTCTCTTCTCCTCTCCTCTTAATAATCTAATCCTTCTCCCCGAATATCTCTCTGCCTTTTGTTCTTTCTTTTTTGGTAATTTATTTATTTTCCATTCGATTTGGTCAAAACCCTAGATTTGTTTTCCAAAAGCATATCTAAAAATGAAGGACAACTTTCCTCTTGTCCTTCGATTATAAATATTCTCTCTGGTTTAACCTAAAAGCCTCAGATCTAACTCAACACATTCAAAGTCTGCCTCCTTTTCAATATTCTTTCTTCTCTTCCATCTCTAATCTCAGAATTTGTGTCGGTATGGTAAAAAGGGTGATGAGTTATGAGTGATAGAGTTTTGGGACAAATTTTAAGAGAAACGCATAGAAACTGACAGAAGAGAGTGAGCACACAAAGGCACTTTGCATGTTCGATGCATTTGCTTCTCTTGCGTGCTCACTGCTCTATCTGTCAGATTTCGGCTCCGATTCGGTTCCGTTCACGTTTTCTTCTTCTAATTGTGTTCCAATCTCTCACTTTCTTTCTCATGTGTTCTTCATCTCTCCAAAGGTAAATTAAATACGATCTGATGATATATGTATGAAGATTGTTGTTATTTGCTGCCATTTATTTGGTTTAAAATTGCATGCGAGTTTGCTTTATGTGTTTTCCTTTGCTGAACTTTATATTTTATGAGATCCTTAGCATCGAAAGCTTAATCTATGAGTTTAAGGCGTGGTTAAGTGAGATTAACATGGGACCATTAACGTTAACCTAGTTTTACTTAGGCTGGTCCTAACTCTTTTGAATCCTTTATAATATTATATTGTTACCTTTTCCTTTATCTAGTTTCTCATTAGCCCTTTTAATCTGTGATTTCTAGTCTTGGTCTCTTCATAAATATCTGTGGATATTTTTGTTATATATGATCATATCTATGTGTATAGTCATGGATCTTGCAAGAGTACTGTTCATGATCTTCGAATTGCTGTACAGATTATTTATATTGCATGCTCGTACGTTTTGATTCCATTTATGTAATTATGTTTCTAATTTAGTCTATCACATATAGTTTAATGTGTTTTGTACTACTTATAGATGGTATCTAGTTTATATGTCATTGATCGACGTGATCACGTTGTGAATCTTGTGAGAATATTCTCGTGGGTTTGTGTCTTGATTTAAGAAATGTTCTTTGGGTTTGTTTCTTGATTTGAGAACATGTTCTTTGCATGTCCTCAAAACGACGTTTTAATTTAGGCATTCTTTGGAATTTTTTTGTTGTTTTTTACCAAAAAATCTTCAGTAATTTGAACCTGTAAGGATCAAATCAATCCTGTATCGTGATTAAGGAATTTTCAGTATATGACTGCTTTATGTATGTTTCATGTCTAGATTGTGAAGGATATTAAAATTTGATTTGTCTCACTTATATTTTTTTCTCTACGCCAAAACATTTCAAAATTTCAATTTTAATTCATATATATTTATGGGAGGGATGTAATGTTATCTTGGGGTTTTCTTCTGGTGAGTAGGTAATATATATTCCACATACCAATAGAAACCTCTATCATTCATGGTCTCTGTTGTATTGCTAGATGTCTCTTGTCATGCGTTTGTGTTGTTCTTGATACTGATTTGCTTTCTCCTTTGTTCCCATGTTTTCGTTGTTTACAAACCAAAAAAAAAGCCAATGTGAGACGCAAATTTATGTTCTTGCTATAATCGACAACAATTAGTTTTAATTAAATTTCTTCAAGAGAAAGATAGTGCTTTCTTGATGCTTGTGAAATGAGTTACCATTAACCGTTCATCGATAATCTTCAGACGGCATGTCTAGAAGAACGATATGTAAGGTACAATTACTCTCGTTATTATGAAGTTAGTATGATGGAAAATGTCTCATGATACGAAAGTAATCATTTGAAATGGAATATGGTTTGCAGAGGTCTTATGTATACTTGCATCACATAAATGCTATGATTAAGATGTCACCAAGGCTTTGTTAAAGTTAGAATCACATGGAGCATTTTCGGTGAGCTAGGAAGTCGGATCAAAGAGGCTCTAAGTTTTTCGAAGGTATTAGATCTTCCCCATTTTGATATTTATTGACAACTAGGTTGGTTTCCAGATTATAAAATCGCGCAAGTCTCTTGTGTGATCTTGATCGGAGGGCTATTTTATGTTATGTGCGGGCTTGTGTTACTGATCGCCTTTTCTGATATATTTTTTTAATTATGTTTCAGGTTTGAATAATCTAAGCTATATCGATCTTTTGGTAGCTGCCCCATTCAAATTGTTCCTGCGAAGTCAAAGAGATCAATATTGCAGGGCTTAGCCTAACCTATTTGTACTTTAAGAGTTGATATGCTTTAATTTGATCTATTTTGTTGATTCCTCATGTTCCACATATATGTGATTTTTGTAGTTTAGAGTCGGTTATTAAACATTGTTTAACGAATTATGAGGTGATTGTAGAAACTGAGTAGGATTGTTGTTCTGCAGGTCCACTGCAGATATACTATGATAATTTATGTTATTGGAATTTGAATCCCTGAATTATCCAAGATTAAGGAATTGAAGTATTTACCAATACAAAGTTACGTTTGAAATGTTGTGTCAAAGGAAACAAATCATAGTGATTGGCTCTTTTTGTACACAACTAGCCTTTTTTTTGCCTAAATTTGTTGTTGAATTCTTTAATACTTCTTCCTTTAGTGGTGAAAAAACGTTTCATAGTTATGATTGATTATATGCATGTTTACATTGCAGATCTTAGAGAGTGTATATTTTATCAATCCTAATTTTGTAGTTAAGTATATATGAGAAAACAAATTTGATCTGGTGAAAAGTACTCCACTCTAAAACTCCATTAGTATTAGAAATCCATGTGAGTATCTGAGGAAGTAGTTTGCAGTACTCTATCTACTCGGCCATTTCAACAATACAAAGTCAAATAGTTGTAATCAATCAAGTGGAGGATAAGAAAACTATGAAGTCAAAACATGTAATTTACATATTTAATTGCTCCTTCAAAACTTCAAAAACCATAGAAAATGTCTTCTCCTCGTATACAAGTCTGACTTTGCTTTATAAATTAATTGATGTTTTTAGAGACTTATAAAGATGAATAATCCAAAATCAGCAATGTTTAATTTCCCGGCTTCAATTGACTAGTTCATGTGGCGAATCAGATACCTATATACTTCTTTTTTTCCCAGTAATCAAGTTAATGATGTCACTCTCTGGAGTTTTAACAGAGGTTCTATTAAAACTAGATTTACTCGCCCGCGCGTTGTGCGGGATATCAAATTTCAACCGGGTATAATACAAAATGTTAAGAATAATCATAATCACTTGAATTTTAAAAACTATATATATATATATATATATATATATATATATATATTCATACTTGTTTTACAAAACAATCTACAACATAGAAAATTATAAAATATATTTGGTACGTACCGCGTAATAACAAAAGTTATATAAGATTAATCGGTCTCGGTAGTTATCAATGAGTTATATTTACAAGAGAGTTATTTCCATAAACAAATCTTGTAAATATAACTGTCTTGATTTTTTGACCTATTCGTACCTCATACTAAAAGTAAATTTGTTGAGTTTGAACATCAATTTATGAAAATATATAAAAGTAATATTCATGCCGCTTCAATAGGTTTGGAGAGCACAATTTACCTATTGAAGCAAGACCATCATACCTTAAGGAAAGTTTTGACCAAATCATGAATGTCTTAATCTTATCTATCCTACTACGCTTACATGGCTCGACGATTTAACCTGATATTGAATATGATAGTCTGGTTTACTAAACCAAACTATCCGATAATGTATACATATATCTGATGAATATCGTTTAGTCATGTGCATACATATATCCGATGCTTCAAGCATTACTCAATTTCTCTTCAAATATTTTTCGTCATCTTCTATGATGCATTTGTTCGCTTCCCAACATCTACTTTTTTTATCTTCTATGCTCACTTTGATAAAACTTTAAATTGATTCTTAACTGAAAACTATTTCCTCATTTTCATCTTTTTATTTTATTTTATTTTATTAATTATATGGTTTTCATGCTTCAACGTAATATAATTTTACGAAAGATATATATTTGTTAAAATTTCCTCAACACTACTTATTTAGATTTTTACCTATATTTAAACATATTCACCTTTTTATTTAGAAAGCAAACAATAATATAGATATAACTTTATTATTTTTATTGTTATATTTTACTATAATTTAATATTAAGATACAATTAATTTTTATATTTTTTCGTTAATGTGAATTTATACTATTACTCTCTTGAAATATAATATTCAATTTTAAATATGAATTATTTCTTATACTATCTTATAAAAACTTTTACAATCATACATTTACTATAACATTTAACCTTTTTTTTTAATCTAAAAATAATATTATTTTAAATAAATTTCTTCCACTTCATTATGATCTCTTTAATTTAATGTTTCCATGAAATATGAATATCTTCTTATTATTAAAAAAAAAAAAAACTCTTATAGCTTTCCATTTCAATTCAATTCTTTTTTCATCCTAAATTTTATTTGAGGTTTCTTTATTATTCTTAAAAATGATAGTTTTTAAACGTTTTTTATTTTTAATAAGTTATTATTTGTTTTTAATTGTATAATAAATTTCATTAAGAAGCTTTTTGTCCATCTTAAATAACATTGGTATTTCTATGAAATTTTCATAATTATTTTTTTATTTCTTAATTAAATATTTAGGGATTATGTTCATTTTAAGTTATATATTAACAAAAAATTAATTTAAGTGTTTTATATGTAAATATGTTATACTTGTGTTATTATTATTCATGTAACCTTTATTTAAAACTGTGCATTAATTGATGATTAATTCTTTGATAATGAGATGTAATTAACCATGAAATTAAATATTTTGAAATAATTATTAGTAGGATCCATAATATTAATTTGGTGATGATGTGGACACCCTAAGAGGAGAGAAAACTCTCTCATTATATATATAGATTTAAAAATCCAGAAATCAAAGCCCAATTTAATTTTTGATATATATATATATATATATTTCTTCTATTTAATTTTTGAGAATAGCCAAACACATATTAGAAAACCTAAAAGAGGGAAAAACGGTCGAAATTAACCCCAACTATTTTCATGCATTTTTTTTCAACTCAAACTCTGACTCTCTGCACTTATGAACCCGAACCCACATAATTTTCAAATAACAAATCTGAACTATATAACTGTTAGTCAATTTCAACATTTTTTTTTTTGTATTTGTTAATGTCGACTAAAATTGTTAAGTCGTAATTGTTTGTTCTTTTGTGTATGAATTATTCTTTTTATTCAATTAGCTAAAGGTTACAATTCATATTTATTACATTATAAAATAACTAGTATATGTTGAAATTGGCTAACAGTTATATAATTTATGTTTATTATTTGAAATTTATGTGAATTTTGGTTGATAAGTGCAATGAGTCAGAGTTTGGATAGGAAATAAATCACATGAAAATATTTGGGATTGATTTTGGCTGTTTTTCCTAAAAAACCAATAATTGACCATAGAGACTCAACCGGTAATTGAAAAATCATTGGTCAATGGTCAGTCGTACTAACCATTGGTCAGTCGTACTAACCGTTTTATCTACTTTATTGCTGTAGCCGAAAAGTGGGTTTAGAAAGTAGAAACAAGAGCCGGTTTAGGGCTGAGACATATATCACGGAACGGTGTTAGAAAAATAATTTGTGGTAATCTACCATTTAAACTAATTAACCAGATATCTCATTAGGGACATACTGTATTATTATAGTTGCACTTGTTTAATAGTAGCAAATTAGGAAAACAATTTTATCGCAAGTTGACTATAATATCCATTGAATTCGGGTGTAATGTTGTGCTGTTCTGTAAAAGTTGTAGTTCTGTTTTGTCAACACATTTTGATAAAATTTTAGCTTAACTTTCTCAAGTTTATCATTGACGGGTCTTTCTAATGTTAATAATTTTGAGATGATGGAGACACTTATAGAGGTAAAATAGAAGAATTTATTCTTTAAAACAATAAAGACCTTGGTAGTATATAAAGTCTTACTAACAACTTTTGCAGATTTATTTTCTGAAAGAAAACATGGAGGAGACGAGCGAGAGTCTTGCCTGGTTAGAGAAATACGAGATCCAAGAATTTCCGTTGATCAGACTCAGAGAGACATCGACCATCGATGACGACGTGGAAATCATATTCAAACCACAAGACGACACAGCGGTGAGTTATCAACGCCTGATGTTGAGTTTTGACGAAGATTTGCTTTATAGGAGACACGAGCTCGCAACCGCCTTTAATTCCTTCGTCTGGCCCGTATACTCAGATTTTGTCGACCTTCAAGAAGATCTTTTTCTCGGAGAAGTTAGTGAAGAGCCACGGACATCTCTTAGTAAGACTCGAAGGATACGAGATCCTCCTCCTCGAGTATCTCGTCGATCGTCAGAAGTATCTAGACCGATTTATCTCCGCCATAGATTTCTCCCACAGTCAAGGAAACAATATTCTTCTTCTCGACGCCAACGTTAATCTTATAATTACGCACTCTCATTTCAAATTTATCCACGAATATGTTTGTGTGTGTGTGTGTGTGTGTTGTGAATATCCTAATAATCGGGTGTTTATGAAGTCCGAATAAGCCTAAAGGCACTGGTGTGATGTTTATATGATGGAATGGTAAATGGTTATTGAACAAATCATGCAATCGTATAATTTTTATTTCCGTTACAGAAAGAAAGGGCTTACATGTTTATCTCAATTTCTGGTATACCAACAATAAGCTGGAAATTTGTGTACCACTTGCTGGTTAGTGAGCTAGCAATTGTATCTCTTCTCTCTATTTACCACATATGCCAACATTAAATTTAAGCCGCAAGCAACTTCTGGATGTCCTTCTGCCAAACAAACAAATTGTTAGTATTAAAATACTAAGACGACTCACTCAACATTCCGCCGTGCCACATGGAAAAATTAATGTTATATATGTTAGAGATGTTATCAATTGAAAGATTCTCTATGTACATTAGAATAGTCCAACTGGTTTGGTTCACGACATGAACCATGGACCAAACCGGAAACGACATAAACCAAGGATCCAGTTATTCAGATTGAATAGAGAGTTTTGAATTGGTACCTCGATTTTGGAAAGGAGAAGTCGTGGGAGGGTATCTCTCGACAACTTTGCCCTCCTTATCAACCAAGAATTTCTCAAAGTTCCATTTGATGATATCACCAAGAAAACCACCAGCATTAGATTTCAAGAACTTGTAGATGGGAGCTGTGCTTGTTCCATTGACATCAACCTGAAGAACACAACATTAGAAGATCTCTCTCAAACCTCCAAAATGAGAGTTCTATTTTTTCCTACATACCTTGTCGAATATAGGGAACTCCACTTTGAATCGGGTGCAAGCAAATTGCTTGATCTCAGGGTTTGAACCGGGTTATTGACCTCCAAATTGATTGCAAGGGAGAGCAAGAATCTCAAATCCTAAAATTGAGACACACAATAAATGATGAGAAGGTCACAATCAATGTGTTACCTTAATTAAATTAGATATTAAAAAGCTTACTATAAAAGCACACCTTGGTTCTTGTATTTTTCGTACAGATGAGAAAGCTCCGAGAAATTTGATGATGTCAAACCACTGAAACAGTAAAGCAAAACAAAAAAAAAAACACTTTTTAAAATTTTTTTTAGAAGCAAAATCAAATTATCAAATAGCATTCGAATGGTATGGCAAAAAAAAAAAAAAAAAAATAGCATTCGAATGAACAATAGTAAAACAATGATCACCATCTTGAAGCGACGTTAAAGATCAACAGAGGTTTTCCTTTCAATTTGTCCAGAGAAACATCATTCCCATCTATGTACTGTCCCAGTCATTATTAAAAAACAAAACATAATTATGTCTCCAAGTCTAGGTTTTAGTTAGGAAGGAGTACTACATAATTCAGTGAGATTAAGAAAAATCATATTTTGATGGCAGACCAAATTCTTCCGTTTCGATAGCATTTAAAGCTAACGAAGAAACAAAAACCTAATTTTCTTCTTCAGATAAATTAAGAAAGAGAAACATACCTTTACAGTGAAATCGTGAACAGTTTTCTCTGCAGCAGCTCTTGCATAAACACCAAAATTTCTGGATTTGACTAGAAACCTATGATTATTCGACGATTTCAGGGAAACCCCATTACCTAACCCAGATATATTCCGAGTATTTGATGTTCCGGTGGAGAATCTCAATGAAGGGACGAGAATAGCCGAAGAATTCGGAGGTGGGTTTGCAGCGAAACCATTGAAGACAGTAGCGAATGATGCGTAAAAGGAGGCCATATAGAAGCAGAATCGCTCTACAAAGAGTTTTTCGTTCTACTATTTATTTATACAAAAGTGTTACACGTTCTAAGGAAAAGTGAGAGCTAATTAAATAAAAAAAAATAACGCCTAGCAGCATCGTCATTTAATTTATATCATGCTTCATTAAGAAATTTTTGGAAATATATGGACAAGTTTTACTCACACTAAAGTTCCATATCATGCGGTCACAGTATAAACACGTTTTCGATATTATATTCACAAATTTTTGAAAATAAATAAATGGTATTTGCTGAATGAAATGGAAAAGGAGCAAAATTAAGCTACGGATTTGCTGAAGACTAGTCAAAGCTTATCATGAACAAAGTTCCAAATATCCCTATCTAATAAATCATAAGTCATTTTACTATTAACTCCAGCTCTATCCTTCTGACACCTGTCTTAAACCCCAAATTCTCTACTTTTACTTCTCAACTATTTATTTCTCTCGGTTCTTTTCTGCCTTTATTTATCCCTATCTAATAAATCACAAGTCATTTTACTATTAACTGCAGCTCTATCCTTCTCACACCTGTCTTAAACCCCAAATTCTCTACTTTTACTTTTCAACTACTTATTTCTCTCGGTTCTTTTCTGCCTTTATTTATCAATTATCAATCAAAAACTTATTTAAAATACAAAAAAGAAATTGACGACAAATTATTTTTTTTACACAACTGCTGCCCCTCTTCTCCCACGATCTGGATATCAAGCTCCACTTCTCAACAATAGCACAACAACATGGCTTCATACATAAAGCTATCGGACCTCTTCCTTTTTTGATTTATGTTCCCTCTAGCTCTAATCGGGTAATTCCAACTGATACTTCTATTGCAAAATCTCTCAATTTACAAATTTTGTGTTCTAATTTATCAAATTTGGTTTACTTTGTTCTTCATCGTTCTTCACACGTCGTGCCTTACCGAGACCCATCCTATTTTCTATTTAACACTTTCTTCTTATTCTTCATATAATTTTTAATTTTACATTTGATTTTGGATTTGCAGGTTTATATTGCAAACTTAATTCTCTAGACATGCCACTCGAAATTACACCTATTTCCCAATTAACTCTAGCAACAGATCCATGTAAAATCAACGTTCGAATTGTCCGTCTTTGGGGTTTTCCAAAAAAGGATAAACCAGAAGAATTTACAGGAATCGATCTTCTCCTTGTGGATGAAAAGGTATTCTAAAGTTCACCTTTTATTCTAAAGTTTGAGCTGCAATATGTATTCTAAAATTACTTTGTTGAATTATTTAGTTGTTTGTCGTTTATTCACAGGGAAGTAGGATACAAGCTTCTGTAAAAGGAAAATTACTCGATAAATTTCAGAAGGACTTAAAAGAAGGGAAATGTTGTGTTCTTATGAACTTTGAATTATGCCCAAATCTAGGAAAATTTCGGAGTTGTGACCATCCTTACAAGATCAATTTCATATTCTACACATGTGTTAAACCAAGCGAGGAGATTCCTAATCTAGAAGCGTGTTTCAACTTATGTCCTTTTCCTGAGATATTAGCAAGAAGAAATGATGATACTATATTCATTGGTACGTTATCTCCACCACTTTTATTTTTCCTATTCATCTATAAGTTATTTCTCAATGTAATTTTCCAAATTTGCAGACATTATTGGTGAGATTGTTGGGATGAATGAAGTTAAGAGTATCACTACTGCTGAAGGTCCAACAAAGTTGCTTAATCTTCAGCTTAAAGATCTTGGGTAATTTTAAAATTCATCCTTTATTCATGTTTGAAATCTTCAGAAGAGACTCGCTTATTGATGTTTCTTAAACAATTCTTTTTCTTTCTCAGGGATTCACTTATTGATGTTGCCTTATGGGGTAAACTTGCAGAAGATGTCTACTCTAATGTTGAAAAAGGGCCGTGCGTTGCACGGGCTATAACAAGACAGCAAGGTGGATATGTGTGTTTTTTTTATAACAAGACAGCTGTTTTTTTTTTTTTTTGAAACAATACATGACATGTGTGTTTGAGATATCAATCCATAAAATTTTGAAACCTATAATACTGGCTGGATTTTGACATTTAGAGTTTTGATTTTATACAGTTGAAAATTGTAAGCTTATAAAGAACACAGCTAATTAAGGCCAATCCAAATGATCTACCAAATCATAAAGAGTCAAGTAATACATTATTGTATTAGTAGTGTAAGTAAAAATAGTGTGTTGTGGTGGCAAGTAAGGAGAAAAGAAACAAACTCTCAAGAACTTTCGTTGTTTTTCTAAGGCAAAACAAAAACAGACTTTTTCTCTCTTTTTTGGGGGGCTACAATCTGAATTTTGATCCCAAATCAAAACTTTCCTCTTCTTCTTCTTCTTCTTCTTCCTCTAATCAGGATTGTCTCCTACCAAAGGTCTTGCCTTTCTCCGGCCAGATATGTGAGAAAACCAAGCTTCTCGTACAACTTCATCACCTACTTCCTTTTGAATTCTTCATATTCAAATCTTGGTATGTTAAAGCAAAACTATAATCGATTCATTCCTCTTTGTTTTGGTTTCGATTTCTTGAATAGCTCTAAAAGATTAAGATCACAGGGTCGGTCTCTTTTGATTTTTCATCTTTTAGCTCATAAATTGTATCTTCTTTTAAGATTCTGATAGATTTATGTAATCAAGAATAGTTTTGATTCATGAAGGAATGTCTAATTTTTCGTTGCAGAGAAAGAGATGGGTATATATCTAAGTACTCCGAAAACAGATAAGTTCTCAGAAGACGGCGAAAATGATAAACTCAGATATGGTTTATCCTCTATGCAAGGTTGGCGTGCGTCCATGGAAGATGCGGTGAGTGACTGTTAAAAAAGTTGAAACCTTTCTTTTTTTTGCAGATTTTGTTTCCTTACTGATTCAAACAATGGTTTTTTTGAACTTTGGGTAGCATGCTGCAATTCTTGATCTCGATGATAACACTTCCTTTTTGGGTGTCTATGATGGTCATGGAGGTAAAAAAAAAAAGAACATTTGTCTTTTTGGTGAATTATCCGGCTTCAAACTTGTTTATATAGCTTGTACTTGGTGATTCTTGTTCTTGTTGTACATGGAATCTCAAATGATTTTGACTAGTGCTGTAGGTAAAGTTGTTTCAAAGTTCTGCGCCAAGTATCTACATCAGCAGGTTCTCAGTAATGAGGCATATGCAGCTGGAGACGTAGGAACTTCTCTTCAAAAAGCATTTTTCAGGTGACACTATCGTTTCTGCCTCTTTCGTATCGAGCTTTTTTTTGTATACCGACTAAAGAAAGTTTACAGCAGCTAGCTAGAGTCTATTTTTGGGTGAAGTTCTGCATTAAAGTGTTTTCTCTTGTCGCTGTGGTTATTGTAGAATGGATGAGATGATGCAAGGACAAAGAGGATGGCGAGAGTTAGCAGTACTCGGTGACAAAATCAATAAGTTCAGCGGGATGATTGAAGGGCTTATATGGTCACCAAGAAGTGGGGATAACGCTAATAAACCTGATGCTTGGGCGTTTGAGGAAGTAAATATTCCCTAGCTGCATATTGCTTTCAGTCTCACTGCTTCTATCAATAGGCAAAAGTAAAGTTAGATCTAAGACTTGTGCTTCCGTTGTCAAAATAGGGTCCTCATTCTGATTTTGCTGGGCCTAATTCTGGTAGCACGGCATGCGTAGCTGTTATTAGAGACAAACAGCTATTTGTTGCAAATGCAGGTGACTCACGTTGTGTGATATCCAGAAAAAATCAGGTAAAATACCATTTTGAAGTGTTTAATTAAGACTTTTTGGCATTTTTAATTTTTTGTTATAACGTGTGTCCCTGTCTACAGGCTTACAATCTTTCTAGAGATCACAAACCAGATCTTGAAGCTGAGAAAGAAAGGATATTGAAAGCTGGTGGCTTTATACATGCAGGGCGAGTCAATGGAAGCTTAAATCTATCACGAGCTATTGGTAACCTCTTCTCACACAATGCAACTTGCCAACTTATATAGTTGTTTACATGCAATGTCTGACTGGAGCAACTCTTTGTCTCTTTACAGGTGACATGGAATTCAAGCAGAATAAGTTTTTGTCATTTGAAAAGCAAATAGTTACCGCCAATCCAGATGTAAACACTGTAAGTGGTCTAATACCACTTCTCTTTTTCCTGAGACATCTTTTATAACAATTATAGTTTTTCTCTTCAGGTTGAACTCTGCGATGATGATGATTTCCTTGTTCTTGCCTGCGATGGAATTTGGTAAAATTCAATTTGAAAAAGTTTTTATATTTTTTCTCCAAACAAGTTCATTTGTTGGTAGTGATATTAATACACCTGTCTTGGTTCATCTCATATCTGCAGGGATTGCATGACAAGCCAACAACTCGTTGATTTCATACATGAACAATTGAATTCAGTAAGCTAACTTGATTTTTCTTCCTTTGGATTACAGTTCTTTTTCCAGTCTATCCTTTTCTGGATTCTAGAGTTTCTTTCTTTTGATTGGTGACATTCAGGAGACCAAACTCTCCGTGGTATGTGAAAAAGTTCTCGATAGATGTCTGGCTCCAAACACCGCAGGTGGTGAAGGCTGTGATAACATGACCATGATCTTGGTTCAATTCAAGAAGCCTGTTCAGTCCACGGAACCTACTCCATCAGAAACCGAACTAAAACTGGAACCAAGCCAGGCCGAAGCAAACCACTATGAGCCGAGCTCATCAAACTAGCCCCATCCTCAGGAGGGTCACGGAAGATCCCATCTAGATCTAGTATTTTGGTTCAGATTGTAAATCATTTTGAAAGACAGTTATATATCACAACCTGACGTTTCTGGGGATTTCAGTATTCCACCATTTTCTCCGCGTGCAGACTTTTGTCTCACGAGCTCCCATAATGCAGAAGAAATAATTGATGTGAAAATGTTGTTGGCCTTAAAGAACATATCATCGTCATGTAAATAAAGAAAACAATAAGACATTTACACAACGTTATGTTTTGTACACTTCACATGGACATAAAGCTCTACTGTGTATTAGCTGTGTAAAATGTCAAGCTCTATTGGGGAGCTGTTCGTATGTTCCTGTGTTGGGGCTAAAACCACCGGTCACCATTGTCTGATACACAGCGTAAGCGTGCTCAGGTTTTCCAGACAAACTGTATCCGCGGATCAGAGCGTTAAATGTAAAAACATTCGGTTCAAGACCTGCTCTTTGTATCTCATTGTAAATTTTCCCTGCTTCTTCCACCATTCCGGCGATACCCAGATTTAAAATCAAGGAGTTGTAAGTGTAAAGATCAGGGGTGATTCCTCTGCTCTTCTTCATCTCGTTGAAAAGCACAAGAGCTTCTTCAAGTCTATGAAATTTTCCGAGTCCGTTAATAATGAGATTGTAACATACTACATCGGGATTGAGGCCTGATTCCTTCAGCTCCCTGAAGTAATGCAAGCCTTCATCCACTCTTCCGACCATACAAAGGCAATCTACTAGAACCGAGTAAGTCTTGAGATCCGGTCTTACTCCTTCTTTTACCATCCTTTTGAACAACGCACACGCTGCATCAGCCTCACCCGCTTTTCCAAACCCGTTAATGAGAATGTTGTAGATAGCACAGTTTGGCCTGCAACCGTAGTCCGACATTCCTTCAAAGAGTTGTTTTGCTTCATATAATCTTCCTGACTTAGAGAGGCCATCGATAAGGGGACCATACGTGCAGGCAGTTGGGGAGAAGTCTCGATCACTCATAAGGTCGTAGTATAAATCAAGAGCATCATCCACATTTCCTGCCTTCACAAGCCCGGAGATGACAATGTTATGAGTTATTGTGTTTGGTTCGCACTCATGGGCAGACATCTCTTTGTATATCTCAAACAGTTCGTCGATTTTTCCTGATTTTCCATAAGCATCAAGCAAGAAGTTGTAGGTAGCCACATCTGGGATGCAACCAGTGTTCTTCACCTGTAGGAACACGTCCTGTGCTATTTCAATCATATCAGCTTCAAGAAGCCCGCCGATTAGCAGATTATAGGTCGGAAGTTTGGGTTGGACACCAAGATCTTTTGTGAATTTCTCGAATAACATTCGAGCACCTGAGGCGTTATTATGTTTAAAAGAATATCTGATTATTGGCACCAGGATCGAGTCACCATCTCGACAAATCCCATTAGCTACCAATCTCTCAGAAAATGAAACGGCGTTGTCTATTCCAGCTTCAGCCAATATAGAGCCCATCAAGTCTTCCCAGAAAAGATTGGCCGGTTGGTCTGCACAGCTGTAAAGAAAATTGGCGATGATTTTGTAAGCATCTTCGATTAAACCAGCCTTGACAACACCTGGGAGAAGGGTGCAGAGGGTAACAAAATCAGGGTACACCAGTTTCTTCATCTGGTGAAAGAAACACATTGCCTCTTTGACTTGACCATTCTTCACCAAACCAAAGATAATCGTATTGTAAGTAAAAACATCTGGGACACAACCCATGTCCATCATCTTGAACAACATCTTCAAGGCTAGAGTCACCTCGTCATTTTTGCAAAGACAATCAAAGAGAGTGTTGAAAGTTATTGTGTTAGGTGGACAACCTTTCTGCACCATCCCCTCGAACAACTCAATGGCCTCTTGAATTTTTCCGTTTTTGCCTAAACCTGCGAGCAATGTGTTGTAAGTCACAACTGTAGGCTTGAGCTTCATTTCCTTCATTCTCATAAACATCTTCCACGCCTCATCTACTCTATCAGCTTTGTAAAGCGTATTGATCAAAGAGTTAACAACAATAACATCAGGTTCACAACAGTTCTCCACCATCTCAGAAAGCAGCTTTATGGCTTCATCAATCTCCCCAACCTTACTGTAGCACTTCATCATCATGTTATAGGTTACTGAATCAGGGACCAGCCCTATGTCTTTCAAGCCATAGAAGATTTGTTTCGCTTCTCGGTCCCTTCCCGCTTTTGCTAGACTGTAGAGAGATGCATTACAGGCTACAATGTTCGGAGCTATTCCTTTGGTTTTCATCTTCTCAAAAGTCTCAAGAGCACTGACGGAATCTCCAGACTTTCCATAGTAATCAATGAATACTATGTACGTATAAGCAGTGGGCTTCACGCCCAGAGACTCCATATTATCAAAAATTTCAAGTGCATCATCCAACCTGTGAACTCTTAGAAGACCGCAAATCAAAGTGTTGTATGTATGGAGGTTCGGTAAGATACCTTGGTCCCTCATCACATCCAATTTAGCAAATGCTTCACCAAAATTCCCAGCTTTGCACAGAGCATCCACGAGAATGGTAAAGGTTACAACGTCAGGTACATGACCATCCTTCTCCATTTCACTCCAAAACTGATTTACTGAATCCAGATCTCTGTTATCACTAAACCTGTCCAGCAAAGTAATGTAAGTTACACGATCCGGTTTGTGTCTTCCCGTTTTCATCTTTGCGAAAACCTCCTTAGCACAATCGAGCTTCCTAGCAGTACACAGAGCATCAATAAGAACAGTGTAAGTAACTACATCAGGTCCACATCCTTCATCATCCATTCGCTTCAGTATTTCATATGCTTCATTAATCTTACCCGCCCTACCAAGCACCCGAATACATATCGTAAACGTGTAGACATTCGGCTTTAATCCCAAAGTCTCCATCTCTTTAAGTAAACCCATCACAGATTCAATATCCCTTCTTTTTCCCAATCCTACCATAAGTGAAGAGTAAGTCTGCAAACTAGGCCTAAAACCATCCAAGATCATTCTTCTATAAACTTCCATTGCCTCTGTGCAAAACCTAGACTTAAGCAGAAGATGAATCAATCCATTGTATGAATATGCATTCAACACAAAACCAAATTCTCTCATCTTCCGAAGTGCAAAAGGCGCTTGTCGCAATCCACCTTTCACAGAAAGACACTTGAAAATAGTCAAGTAAGTATTAGTATCCCTCTTTATGATTCTTTTCTGCATCAAATCAAACACATAAGCCATTTCCTCAATTTTGCCATCAACCCTCAAAGCTTCAAGCATGTAGTTGCAAGTCTCAGTAGTGTGAACCAAATTCGAATTCCCAGCCACTGATTTGAAATAAGAAAACGAAGAATCAGTATCAGGAAACGACATTAAAACCCTCGCTACTTCACTCGATGACAAATCAGGTTTTGAGCTCTTTCTTATCATAGAACCCGAAAAGCCAGAACTTTTCATGGATACTAAACTACATCTCATACTCTTCATTCTCCAGTGTTTCTTCCGAGACCCAATCTTCAAAGCGTGGAACTTTAATTCTCCAGTAACCAAATTATCGCGTCTCCAACAACATTTTGCTTTGCTGTTACTAATCAGAAAAGCATCACCGACTGTAATATCACCACACAGACTCGTAGAGCAGAGTAACGCGACCATTTTCGAGATAAGTCAAGCAAGCAAAACAATTCCCCGGCAAAATTGAAACGAAACAGAGGTTAACGATGATGATTCATCACATTTCAAGTGGCGAAGATGCAACTAACAGAACACAAGGACGTGATGAATAGTTATGAGCATTTTGATTCGTCTCCGTTCACCGGCAAAAAAAGAACGCGACGGAGTCGATTTCGGTGAACCGGAGATTTCCGAAGAAAGAATTTTCGAAGCAGAATAAAAAAACACTTGCCGAGAGGATAAAATCAGCAACTCGCTCCACTCGATCCTTACCGTTTTGCTTCCCTCCCAAAATATCTTCAGGCCCAATACAGGCCCATTTTTATAAGCCTCTATTCAACGACAGCGATATTTTTTTGGTAGTACTAAACTAATAATATTCAAACCTTTTTTCATAATAACTGATTTTAATTACTTTTTTGGGGTACTAATTCAAAATTCTCATTCAGTTTTTTTTTTTGTTTTTCTTGATTGTTGATAGATCCAACTAATTTATCCAGAAGTAAACAAGAGGAAGAACAATTTCAATGAAATAATAAATTTAATATAGTAAATAACAAAGATTTAGATTCTACTTCATATTCGAAAATTAATAAATAGAATTTCAGACTAAATTTCTCTTTTAAAAGAAGAAGGCCCATAATCCAAGAACAAGGCCAAATACGACACTGAATCCGCCGGTGAGCTTAGCGGCACCACTAGTAGGAGCTATGGCGGGACCGTCGAACTCAGATGGCGAAGGAGCTGGAGAGAAAGCAGAGTTACGAGGAGTGATGACGACTAGGCGTAGCTTCTGACCCTTTTGACAATGACCCTCTGTTCCACTGATGAAGTAGACCGGACCGGCTTGGTCTAGCTTCACCTTTGTGTTCCCGTCGGTGTAGCTGGCTTTAGGGCTAGTGGTGTTGCATTTCTCGTAAGCCTCTCGTGTCACTTGCAGAACCGAGTCTTTACCGGCTTCGTACCTGAAAACTGAAATAAACATATGACAATGTCAGAAACAGAGTATATACATTGAAGATTACACAAAAATGTCCAAGTCTAATTGAAAAAAAAAAAAGTTAAAAATTGAGGACTTACCGATAAAGTCGCCGACTTTGAAGCGAGCCTTTTGAGCCCATTCGTTGAAAGAGAAAGAAGAGGAAGGAGGGATCTTCCAGTCACCGGATTTTCCTCCGACGGTAACCTCATTTGCATCCACGGACAAGAAGAAGAAGAAAGAAATGCAGAGGAAGATGGTAACTAGAAGAGAAGAAGAAGCCATTGATTATAAATTAATCACTTTCTGTACTGAATTCAAAACCTCGAAAGTATTAGTGTGTGTAATGTGTTTTAGTATGTTGAAGATGAAGAATGTGAGTGGATTTTGTGTGGTTTTTATAGAGGTGGAGGACTTGGAAACTAGCCGTTTAAGAATACGAAAATTAAAAGGAAATATTGGTAAATGTTAATGTATCCGTTGGGAGATGATAAAGGTAACGTAACGGTTAGGATTGAGACAAAACCTGAACTCTGATAGAGAAAGTGATTTCACGGTCTTCTAGGAAGACTGGTCAAGCTTAGCTGTTTCTGTTTTTTTTGCTTTTTCACTTTTTGTACTTTACTTTTCGTTTGCTAGTGGAATTGGATTTTGATAATGTTGGGCCTTCAAATTGATAAAAGATGAATAAAAGACATATCGCCTAAAAGGCCCATAAGAAGCAGAAGACAAAAAAAACTTCCAACGTTGCGCATTTTGATCATAATTTAAAAATCAAACCCAATTTGGCACCTGGCCTAGTTATCATTCTAAGGCATGACACCTGCCTAATATGTTTATTATAGAAAACATAGAGAATTAGCTAGGTGTCCCTTATTGAACACAATAACAAACTCAAACGTCACTACGTGTCCTCATGACTCTTACCATCTCCAAAACCGTATAGCTAGCTAAAACAAAGCTGTTTCTTCTATGGTTTAGTGTAGTCCCAACTCCCAAGCTACAAAAAAAACATTGAAGAAAGCATAAGCATGGCTGGAGAAGATGACTGGAGGAAAACGGCAGATACGACAAAGATGAGCTCGGAGGGAGTGAAAGCAGCCGGCGTTGAGTCATCCAAGAGGCCGCCAGGAAGTAATCCAGGTGGTGTTCTTCACCAACGCCGTAACTTGCCATACAGTTACACCACGATGGCTCTAGCCGGATTAGCTATCTCTGGTGCCATCATGTACACTGTAATGTATGCTAAGAAAAAGCCGGAAGCTACTGCCACTGATGTAGCTAAGGCTGCCACAGGGACAGCTAAACCCGAAGATACACATCCAAGAAAGTAAAATTTCAAGGGAAGAATTGAAGGGTTTATCTTTTCTTTTTTTGCTTTTGTATTTTTGTTCTTGCTTCATGCTCAATGTTCTTGTTGGAACCTTTTTTTTTCTTGTAATAAAATAACATAACGAGTGCAAGAATAGATTATATCAACTACTAGAGAAAGCAGAAGAAAAAAAAAATGTTTACCAAAAAAAAAAAAAGCAGAAAAATAAAATGGGAGGGATATATAGAACATAAATTGTGTTTTTATAGAGAGGTATCAAAGGTATATATTATTTCAGAACGATATCAAGTTTACCGAGTGAAGACATAATTTACAATGTGTAACAGTTTTACAAGTCTTATGAAAGATGATTTTCCGATTTGGGAAGACTACTATTTTTGCAGATCCTTTAAAAAAAATTATTTGTAGTTGTGCCATGCTTTGGGGGTGGTGATCGTTTATAAGTCTTTTGAATGCGTGCGTATAGTTTAGATCACCCAATCCTCCTCTTACATTTCTCGTGTCATGTAGCTTATAAAAAATAGGGCCATTAATGTGGGCTTGAGAGGTGTGTATTGATATTTTTGGGCCATATCCTAAAAGCTAGAGCACATAATCATCATGCATGGCATTCAAAGATTCCAATCCGGTTTTGCAATCTTGAGTTTGATTTAAGTTTTTTATATTTTAATTCTCTAAAAAGAAAACACAATTTAAAATATTTCGAACAGTTTGTGTTTATTTTGAATTGTCGTCTTTAGTCATGTGGGCGACTTTGATTATTTACTGTCAAATAAAAACTTTTAGAAAAGAAACAGTAGTTTTTTAGTCAACTACAAAATTATGGCTAGTTGATTCTATGAGACAATTGGTTATTCGCATCTCTTTGAAAACGTTGATTGGCATAAAATAAGATCGTAATTCGTAACGTTAGAATATGAAAAATTAGGTGAGTCCACTTAATGGCCCAAAAAAGTAAGTGTATTGAAATAGGCTGTTAGGTAGAAACACTCATGTGTTGCTTTATGAGCATAAAACCTGGGCGACAATCTTTTATTTTCTCCTCACCAACTGCACACATTTTAACTATCAATCAACATTCTCGTCTTTAAATTAAGTTGATCCCCATTTTATAAATACATTACAGATATATACACTATTTTGTGGACAAAAAAGAACAAATAGTATACGTTATTTTTTATTTGTATAATAGGGTTTGTGTACTTATTCCTCAGACCCATAAGATAACAATTCTCATTTGGCACATACAGCTTACTATTACCAAATTCACACCACTATTACAAAACATCCAATTTACTCTAGTCCATATTGGTGGAGTCTTCTATCATTTTATTTCATGATGTTCAAGAAGAAAACAATAAGATAAAGATAGACCTGAAAACGACCAAAGTTATTCCACGGAAACTATTTGTACATTCCAAATCATTCAAATAAGTTTTATATGAAGAAAACTAAAGGGTAAAAACTTATCGACGAAAAAAACTTGAATTTAGTCTACTTATAAAAGGGTAGAAAGTTAGAAAAAAAAAAAAAAGGAGGAAATTATATAGAAATTTATGAAGAAAGGAGCAAAAAGGAAGAGTTCTAGCACAAGGTTGCAATTATAGAGGTTTGGACCCATAGTCAGTGTTCACCATCATTTGTTTATGATGCCTTATGCTCACGCCTGTCTATAATTGTCTTTCTATTATTTTTCAACATTAAACCTTTACTATTAGTCGTTTGACGACGTATAAACATTCTCATCTCAACGACAAAACAATAAAAAGCATTACATCTCAAAATTGAAATTTGGTTTCGCTTGAATTAGTATATTCTCCACGGTTTGAAAAATTGTGAGGTTTCCGGATAATCGTCTTAAACTATTCACTAATAGTAGTCCTTTGTCTTATAGATTGTATATGCCATGCTTTTATGTTTACTGTAACATAAAAACAGAAACGCAATACTATATACTATGTTTAAGATAGGAATGTTTCTATATTGAATATAATCTACTAAATTGAATACAGTATATTCCATCATTTCTCTGTTTAGGGTACATATTCATTTGATACCATTTATTACGTATAAAATTATGTCATTTGCAGTCTTCCAGTCAATTATTTTTGTTATTTGATGTATTCTTTATTTTCCACGATTTAAGCATTGATTTGAAACTTTAACCTTAGTTTACATGGGAGATTGTTACTGAATCGAACTTGAGGGGATGTGATAGAAGCATGTATGATCTTAAGACCTAGGAAGATTGTGTTAATACCTATTATCTGGTTGAGTCAAACAACTGATGACCAATTTATAATCAGAAATTTCTGATTTTGTATAGAAAGATTTTCCACTCAGCCCACACCCATTACATTTTAGTGTATTTCTGTTCGCTTATTACCATTTATATCCAAAGCTCGAAAAAACATAAAAATAAAGAAAAAAGTTTGCAACGAAGAAATCTCAAAGTAAATGACAGAAGGATAATATAACATGGGGAGTGCATTAAATATGGATGCAATGTATGTAATGTAAAAGAGGTAGACTGTATAAATATAAATAATGCAACCATAATAATGGAGCTACGTCTAGTCTTTTCTCATAAACCACATGCCATTGCTTTTTCTTCTGTGCTTTCAACGTCTCACCTATGCATCTATATATTGTAGATATCATCCAATGAGGAAATATGTTTTAATTACACTTCTAATAATAATACCCCTTAGACCCCATATGATAATGTCCGTACGTGCAACTCTTTTGGCTACGTGTATGATGGCGAGGACGCTAATCTTCTTTTGCGAGACTGAATCATTATCCAAAGAGTTTTTTTTTTTTCGTATTGTGTAGTGATGAGTGTGAGTTCTTACTTCTTAATAGGTTTTGAAGTCTGTGTAACCATGCATATAATCTGCAGCATGCAAGTAAAGAATACATCAATTAATAAATTTTGTAGCGGGGAAGAATAATTAGTCTGCCATGATTTAGGTTCAAAAACATTATATATATGGATTAAAAGCCTGAGATTTTTTGATAAAATTGAAGAATATAGCATGGTCAATCAAGTGTCGTAATCGGTCATAGTCATGGTGCTTGGTGCATTAACTTATGTGCTATACTCTATGTTTACGCACTTTAGATTCAAACAACGGATTAGACCTCGTTTCCATATCTATATAGCCTTGTAATTCAACGTTCATGTTTGGATTATTTTGGTAATATTGAAACCAATGTTTCAGGTATTAGGGTTGGGCCACGTAAGTATTTGAGCATAGTTTAACAAAAAAGAAAGAAAGTATTTGAGCATTAAGGATAAGATATTTTTAATTAATATTTGTGTATTTGAGACCATATATATCTAATTTTATTATCTGGAACGAGATGTTTTCTGAATAAAGTATTTAGGAAGAAGAAAAGATAACATGAAGAATAGTGATAAAACAAATTATTCTTTAGTTGATGTATAAAACAAATAACGGATCATATATATAACGAGTTACATGACCGGCATATAAGGATAAGTCAAATTAACATATGTACTTATCTTTTTAGCGAAGACGCAGAGACACATCAATTAGTTACCATTGAAATAATTAAGCCACTAGGAAGCATGCATGCTTGTCAACCTTCATTTACTACTTAGTTTGCTTAGCTTTGGGACCAATATACATTACATCTCCATAATTACGTTGCGACTCTTACGATACGTGTTTCGTGTTCATATTATATAATTGAGCAATTAATCACGTGGAAACAGCTACGGCACGTAAGGAAAATTGACATTGCAGACCCCACCAAATTACATACTCCGATAAAAATGGCTAAAAACATTAAAACCTTGTAAACCAAATCGGGTCCATTCAAGATCTTGACTACGCCATTTTTGTTAATGTCTCGAAGAAAATTGAAAACACAAGTAGCAGATCACCTTACCCTCTCTTTAAGAGAAAACAAACAAATTAACACACATGTTTTGATGATTTGACAGTTTGTATTACTCCAATTTTGTTGACAATAAATTGTATATTCACTTGTTTTGCATAATCCAAAAGCGAATAATAATTATCCACCATATCCATATGGTTTAGCAACAATCTTTAATTAGATTATTATTCTGACCGACTGAGTATACTGTATCTCGTTGTGAACACTACGATTATTTTTATTCGGGATTTTGGTGAGACACGAGATATTCATGGGTATGAAAAATATTCATAGTGACATCAAAAGGAGAAACTAACTTTACATGAAGCTTCCTTTCAGACAAAATGACGTTCATATAAAATTAAGACATTTGCTTTTCAAAAAATTAAGTTGTTGTTTTGTTTTGTCGATGCCGAGTTAATTTCATCTATTATCTATGACGACAATGCAATATGAGTGTGATTCCTCTTATTAGTATTGTTTATATTTTCGTTACACAATTATTGACTTGTTAGATATTTCTAGTATTAGTATAGTAGCAGATCTGATCTATAAAGAGTCCATGACATTATAAAGAAACTAACCGTGTTTTTAAAAAATGCCATTTTTGCATGCAAAGTCAATGTTAGGAAATGCAAAGTGTGACCGACTCGTGAGCATCTAGAATAACGGAAACAAAAGTCAAAGTGTGTCTCTCTCTCGGCAAGCGGGTTCCGTTGGGACGGACTACAAAGACTGTAACGGCGCGTCAATTTCACACACCAACTACAAAGAAGAGAGCTAGAGGAAACAATAATTACACGTGTCGAGTTTTCATTTGTAGAGTAATGGAACTAAAGTAAACGGAGAAGGGAATGAGTCAAAGCAAGTAAGGTGGTGCAAACCTACTCTTGATTGATGCAAGCAAATATTTTTTTGTTAAGAGATTTTACTATTATCTACTATATAACAAAAGATTATTTTTCGGAAAATTAATCTGGTTCTTTGAGTCAAACATAAAACAGGCTTTGACTCAGTTAGCCAATGTACTTACTATGTAGCGTTGGAATATTATCATCATATGTGTACTTATTTACCTTTCTCATAGATGTATCGAAGAAGATACATAGGAGAGTAATTGGAGAGATCTCTAATTTTCAGAGAAAAGAAAGTACTACATACTGTATATTATTATGATAATATACATGTACACATAAACTTAAGACGTAAAGAACAAATGGAAGTGATTAAAGAAAGGGATAATTAAGAAAAACAGTTGTTAATTAGTAACATTTAAACAACTTAGCTGGCTAGATTAGAATATTTGCAAGCTAGATTCCCACTCTCTTTTCTCTTGTTCCCTTCAGTTTTTTCTCCATTTCCTTTATATAAATTAAAGAAATATATACATAGTATATTTGTACGAGAGTAAAGGATTTTAGTAGGAGAGACAAGTTCGTCAGAGCGAAAATAAATCATCATCATTCCTCATCCCTTCCCGAAGCTGCTCTAAGGAAAGAGATCCACTATTATTACTACTATACATACCAGAATAAATAAATAAACCTTCATTGAGATTTGAGCCAAACAGAGAAGAAGAAGAAGGAGAAGAAGAAGAGGGAAAGAGAAGATCTCCAGCGGATCAGTCCCCGCTTTAAAAGCATTGGCGGCGTCTGATTTCATCATCTCTCTCTCTTTAATTCTCTCAAAGACAAAGCCTTTTTCTCTCTCTCGATATATCTCTCTCTTACGCCATTTGGGTTATTGCTTTTCTATGTGTGTGTGAGTGATTATGATGATGGGATTATCTTTCTAAAGCTTTTTATTTTCCTGGAAAGTTAAGAAAATTAAAAAGAAAAGTAGTAGACAACTTTATGCCTAGTTCTTCTCTTCTCTGTTGGAGTTGAGAGACCAATAAATGCTGTTAGTAATGGTTAGTTGAGATGGGAGGAAAAAGATCCCGTAGTCCGAGGAGTGTTTGGTTTCTTGCAAAAGGATAGTGAGGCAAAACATGGGTTTGGTTTCTCTTGTCTCCTTTCATTCATCCCATTTCCATTAATGGTCTCTCCCCTCTCCCAACACCACCTCAACTTTAATTAACAAACAAACGTTTTCTGCCTTTTTCTCTTCTTCTCACTTCTGTGGTTCTGCTTTGATTTGATCGGTTCTAAAGAGAGAGAGAGAGAGAGAGAGTAAAGCTCAAAGCTGCTTCAGAGTCAAACTAAAGTGTCTTCTTTTTAGTAAAGAAGACGAAGAAAGATGAAGTTCATGAAGCTAGGGTCTAAGCCTGATACATTTGAATCTGATGGCAAATTCGTCAAGTAAGCATAATTTTGTTAGTTTTTTCTCTTCTTTTTTTTTTTTTTAAATAGTTTTGATTGGTCAAATGAAACTTCTACTGTTTTGTGCTCTGTGTTTTTGTTCTCTTCTCTTCTCTTTTCTATTCATTTTTCTCCACATGTGTTGCCTCTGTCTAGTTCTTGTAGGGATTTTAGAAACATATGTCCCCTCTTCTCTTGGTTTCTATCTTTTTGAACAGAAGCTGTTAAAAACAGATTCCGTGACATCCCTGCGGAATTTTCATTTGCTCTGTCTATTTGAACAGAGATAGTTAAACATGGTTAAGAATTTCTTAAACTCTGTTACTTGCCAGTTAAAATACTCTGGTATTGATTTTAGAGATTAAAAACCAGGATAAGTTTTTCATCATCATGACCATTATTGTGATTGGTTTCACTCATCATTTTTTTTTTTGCGGGAAATACCACAAAGTTAAAAGCTAGAAAAGTTATAAGAAATGAGGTATATGAGTTTCAGGAGTGGCCCATTTATTAGATGATCTGTCTTTGTTTATGTGCTGTTGTTTTGTGGTCCTGATTTGTAAGAGCAAAGAGTGGAAAGCTAAAGGGAATGATGATTATGAGTTTTCTTCTAATTTAGAAAGTGAAGAATCTCTCTTTACTTTTGTTACTTGTGCTTTGTTTCTCTAAATATCTAAGAATCTTGTATCCTTTGTCTTGTTTTGTAAGTGAATATAATAAAAAAAATTGGATTTTTTAGGCAAGGTTCGGATTCTTATGTTGGTGAGAGTTAAACTTGATGAATATGCATGTGCCTATGGTTTTGAATGTAAACATAACATCTGAAGTGTTTAAGAAAGTAGTACTGACTAATTAATATGTAAGAGTCCTCGTATAGCTGATTGTGTTCTTGGTCTCAATGTTTATTCTGACCATTGATTCTTCCTCGCAGGTACGCTGTTTCGGATCTTGATAGCGATGTTACTATTCATGTTGGCGAGGTCACATTTCACCTCCATAAGGTACATTTTTGTATTGCTAACAACAGAAGTAGTTACTGATGAATTCTTAAGTGGTACAATTGTAATGGAATTTAATGTTGTATTTTCAGTTCCCGCTGCTATCGAAGAGCAATCGGATGCAGCGACTGGTTTTTGAGGCGAGTGAGGAAGAAACCAATGAGATCACTATACTTGACATGCCAGGAGGACACAAAGCGTTTGAGATATGTGCTAAGTTTTGCTATGGGATGACTGTTACGCTCAATGCTTACAACATAACCGCTGTGCGATGTGCAGCTGAGTATCTTGAAATGACTGAAGATGCAGATCGCGGTAACCTCATATACAAGATCGAGGTTTTCCTCAACTCAGGCATATTCAGAAGCTGGAAAGACTCTATCATTGTGCTTCAGACAACAAGATCTCTTCTTCCTTGGTCAGAAGATCTGAAGCTTGTTGGTAGATGCATAGATTCTGTTTCAGCTAAGATTTTGGTGAACCCTGAGACTATCACTTGGTCTTATACACACAACAGGAAGTTATCTGGACCCGATAAGATAGTCGAGTATCATCGTGAGAAGAGAGAAGAGAATGTGATACCGAAAGATTGGTGGGTGGAAGATGTATGTGAGCTCGAGATTGATATGTTCAAGAGGGTGATGAGTGTTGTGAAGTCGAGTGGAAGGATGAACAATGGCGTAATTGCTGAAGCTCTTAGATACTATGTTGCAAGGTGGTTACCAGAATCTATGGAGTCTTTGACATCAAAAGCTTCTTCAAACAAAGATCTCGTCGAGACGGTTGTTTTCTTGTTGCCGAGGGTAAACATAGCGATGAGCTACTCTTCTTGCAGCTTCTTGCTAAAACTCCTTAAAGTTTCGATCTTGGTTGGAGCTGATGAGACGGTGAGAGAAGACTTGGTTGAGAACGTGAGCTTGAAGCTTCATGAAGCGTCCGTGAAAGATTTGCTGATCCATGAAGTCGAATTAGTTCATCGGATTGTGGAACAGTTCATGGCCGATGAGAAACGTGAATCTGAAGATGATCAGTACAAGGAGTTCGTTTTGGGAAATGGGATTTTGTTGAGTGTAGGAAGATTGATTGACGCTTATCTCGCTCTTAACTCTGATCTTACACTCACTAGCTTTATTGAGTTATCTGAGTTAGTCCCGGAATCAGCTAGGCCGATACACGACGGTCTCTACAAGGCCATTGACACTTTCATGAAGGTAAAACAGAATTGCTCAGACTCTCTTGTTTTTCTGAAAAGAATGAAACTTTTTGGACATTTTTGTAATCTGCGAAGTTGGTTTTTGTAGGAACATCCGGAGCTAACAAAATCTGAAAAGAAGAGGCTTTGCGGGTTAATGGACGTGAGGAAACTGACAAATGAAGCATCAACGCACGCTGCACAGAACGAGCGACTTCCGCTACGAATGGTGGTGCAAGTTCTCTACTTTGAGCAGCTCCGAGCAAATCACAGCCCCGTCACGTCTGTTGCAGCTTCGTCACACTCGCCGGTTGAGAAGACGGAGGAGAACAAAGGAGAAGAAGCGACGAAGACGGTGGAGCTGAGCAAGAAAAGCAGAGGAAGCAAGAGCACAAGGAGTGGTGGTGGTGCACAGCTGATGCCGTCGAGGTCACGGAGGATCTTTGAGAAGATATGGCCGGGGAAAGGAGAGAGCAGCAACAAGAGCTCTGAGGTTTCTTCTGGAAGCTCACAAAGTCCGCCGGCCAAGTCTTCTAGCTCGTCTTCCCGGCGCCGCAGACATTCGATATCCTGAATCCACATGGAGAAACAGAATTTGTAAAGAGAAGCTATTATTATGGTTGTAACTTATTATAAGTGATCTTAGGATTTGTGGTAGTTAAACTAAAACTGATGAAGTTGTGTTCTGTGTTTCTTTAATCGTAAAGATTTGTTAACTGTTTCATTACATAACTATTTTGCTGTCGTTAACTTTAGTGATTAGTGAAAGTGATGGACTACAAATTTTGTTGTTTGTTTATCAATCACTAGTATTAAAAATTTAAAGTTAATTATTATTAAAGTTAATTAGTATTAAGGCCTTGACGTGTGTAAAAAGCAGTTGAATTGTTTTTTTTTTCTTGTCCATTTTTTTTTTGTTAGATAATAAATTGAAAGAGCAAGAATTGAGACTTAAGCCAGATGGCAGATGGAGAGGGTTGCAGTTTTTTTAAAATGATTTGTGATTTATTATATAAAGATTATATAAAGATTTTGCTGTCGTTAACTTTAGTGATTAGTGAAAGTGATGGACTACAAATTTTGTTGTTTGTTTATCAATCACTAGTATTAAGGCCTGTGCAACGCACATGAAAAATTTAAAGTTAATTATTATTAAAGTTAATTAGTATTAAGGCCTTGACGTGTGTAAAAAGCAGTTGAATTGTTTTTTTTTTCTTATCCAATTTTCTTTTGTTAGATAATAAATTGAAAGAGCAAGAATTGAGACTTAAGCCAGATGACAGATGGGGAGGGTTGCAGTTTTTTTAAAATGACTTGTGATTTATTATATAAAGATTAGCGATCAAAATTATTCCACATTAGTGCGACTAAAAATCAGATTTGTACCTTTTAGTGCGATTATTGACTAAGCTATGATCTATTGGGCCTTATGGGCTCTATATTGAGCCCATAACTGATCATACGTTAAGACGTTGAATTTCGATTGTGGAAATGATCTGACGGCTAGGAATCGCCGCCGGGCATAACCAAAACCCAAAACCCTCGGAAACCCAGAGGCGTCTTCTCGACGGAGAGCGACAGAGTGAGAGAGAGATGCAAACAGTGAAAGCTTTGAGGAGAGTGACTAAACCCTTACAATGGGTTCGGTCTGTTTCTTATGGAAGAAGCTTTTCTGCTCTCCCAAACTATTCCGCAGCAGATGCTGATATCGAAGACCAGGTTTTTCTTCTTCTTTTGTTTTAGATCTTCGCTAAATGTGCTTGATGTGATAGTATTTTTGTGAAACTCTTGAACATTTTATCTATTTGATCGTAAATGGGAATTCATTTTCCGGAAATGTTGGTAATTTATTGGGTTCGAGCTTAGATATACTAATTTAGGGAAACGATCAATTGAATTCTGGGTTTGGGTATCCTTGTACTCGAGCTAAGATTATTCGATACTATTGTTTAAAGTGTGTGTTTTTGGTTCTCTCTTAAAGATTATCGACTTCTTCTTTCAGGTTTAATTAAATTCTACGTCCTTTTTCTTTATTGCTGTAATTGAAGGTTCTGGTGGAAGGAAAAGCTAAATCAAGAGCTGCTATTCTCAATAGTCCCTCTTCTCTTAATGCTCTTTCTACGCCTATGGTAATCTTCTTGGATATGAAGTATGGTTTCTTGAGCTCATTTTGTTTCTTTAGTTTTCTCAAAATTTGTTTTGTGTTTTTAGGTAGGTCGGTTAAAGAGGCTATACGAATCATGGGAAGAGAATCCAGCTATTTCTTTTGTTTTGATGAAGGTATGGTACTCTCTAGCTTCCTTTACGAGATTCATTGCTGATTCTCATTAGATCATGTCTTCTTTTACGAGATGCATTGTTGTACCACAATCTCCCTCGATTAAGCTACTGTTTTCATTTTTTCTGAAGGGTAGCGGCAAAACGTTCTGTTCCGGTGCAGATGTCTTGCCTCTTTATCACTCGATCAATGAAGGTCCATCTCTTGTAATAGTTTCCATTGTTAAATTACTTGGAAATGTTTTGTGAGATTCAGGGCAAGCAATTCCATAGCTTCAAGTCCCTTTCACAATCGTTAATCTGGTGAACTTACTGCGAAGAATTGCTGATGTATTGCCACTTTCTTTTGCACAGGAAATACTGAAGAAAGTAAACTCTTTTTCGACAACTTGTACAAGTTTGTATACCTCCAAGGAACATATTTGAAACCAAATGTGAGATTCCTAGACTTTCCCTAGATACTATGTGTTAGTATCAGATGGGATTGGTTCGTATGACAACAAGTGACTAGAAAGAGCTCAACTTGCTTTTTTCTTCCACTTAATAATATATGAAGCTGATTTTCTAGATAAGGTGCAAGTTTTGAAATATTTGTACTTTATTTCCTGCTCTTATATCTCAAGAGTTCTGTCTTACTGCAGATAGCTATAATGGATGGTGTAACCATGGGTTGTGGTGGTGGAGTTTCAATTCCAGGGATGTTTCGTGTGGCTACAGATAAGACTGTATGTGGCTCGCTTTATTATTACGAATCACTGGTTACATTAGGTCCTACAGTCTCTTTAACTTCGAGTGGACGCTGTAATAATAGAAAAAATTCCATCCAGTAGTTACATTAGGTCCTACAGTCTCTTAAGAAAGGAAGTTAAATCTCTGAGTTGGTGTTCGAACCATTTTCTCTGTATTTTAAACATCTTGTGTCTTAAGTCAATTATCGATAGCGAATTTCTCTTTGTGTGAAACTGTTTCTTTTCTTGTACTTTGGAAGTTTTCGTGGTGAAGGTGTTCTGAACAACCGTGCGTATGCAGGTGTTGGCCCATCCAGAAGTCCAAATTGGTTTCCATCCTGATGCCGGAGCTTCCTATTACCTTTCACGGCTTCCTGGCTATTTAGGTGAACTTCACCTTTGGCTGATCTGTTTACTATATCCATGTTCTATGCATATATGTATAGTAAAATGATGGTCAAATTCTAGATCTGAATGTGATTGGCCTACAAATACTTAACTTCAATGTTTTGGTGTTCTAAAGCGGTTTTTGTGTTTTCTTGTTCAGGGGAATACTTGGCTCTAACAGGGCAGAAGCTAAATGGTGTCGAAATGATAGCATGTGGCCTTGCCACCCACTATTGCTTAAACGCGGTTTGATTCAGTTTTCTTACCTTGTTTCTTGTTTGTTCTTTCCTCTTAAGCGCATTCCTTATATAAGTTGTTATGGCAGAGACTTCCGTTGATCGAAGAGAGGATTGGTAAACTGTTGACCGATGATCCTGCCGTTATTGAGGATTCTCTTGCTCAATATGGTGATCTTGTTTACCCTGACAGTAGCAGTGTACTGCACAAGTAGATCTTTTACCTTTTCTACATATCTTAAAATCTCTTAAAATATCCCACAATCATGTAACCAGAATATTCTTGTCAGGATTGAGATGATTGATAAATATTTTGGGCTTGATACCGTTGAAGAAATCATTGAGGCTATGGTAAGAGATTTTTGCTTGTGCATAGGCATTATATCTTTCAATTTGAGGATTTTGGATCGACTTGGCTTGGAGTTTGGTCAAGTTCTAAGCTTCCATGTTTACCCATGTCTCAGGAAAATGAGGCTGCTAATTCTTGCAATGAATGGTGCAAGAAAACTCTCAAACAAATCAAAGAAGCTTCACCTTTGAGCTTAAAGATTACTTTGCAGTCTGTGAGTCCTTTTAGTTTCTTCTTCTCCTTTCTCAAAAAGGATTTCATTTTTCTGACTCTGGTGGTTTCTTCTCTTCTTAGATACGAGAAGGTAGATTCCAAACCCTTGATCAATGTCTCACACGTGAATACCGTATATCTATTTGTGGAGTCTCAAAGACAGTCTCTGGCGACTTTTGCGAGGTAAAATATATCACCAATTTCTCAATTAAAGCATCATTTTTTGCATATATTGAAAATGTTTGCTGTTGATAGGGTATACGAGCCCGTTTGGTGGACAAAGACTTTGCTCCAAAGGTGCATACAAACATTCAGCCTTAAAATTAGACGTTTGCAACTCCTCTTCCTTATGTTCATCTTCCAGGTTTTACTTTCTGATAATTTGTGGTTTGTTGCCTTCCAAAATTTGTAGTGGGATCCTCCACGCCTACAAGATGTGAGCAAAGACATGGTGGATTGCTACTTCTCGCCAGCCATAGAGCTCGATGATTCAGATTCTGAGTTGAAGCTGCCAACAGCTCAACGAGAGCCTTACTTCTGAGGAAAAATCTACTGATGATACTCATTACTTGCAATAAAGAATTCCACCGGTCTGTGAGATCCATGTATTGAGATTTTTGCTGTCAAACTTGGCTTATCTTCTTAATTAGGAGTGTCATGTTTTTAACTGTCGTGTGATATTTTGTTTATTCATCTTCGGTTAGCGGATTCCATTATAATGTTGAAACCAAAGTGTAGAATTCTAGAAGAAGCTTGATTGGATACAGATACAGTGCAATTCCCACCCTGGATAGTGATTTTCAGGTGGTATGTGTAACATTGCACCAAACAGGGACAGTGGCAACTAGTTTAAATACAAGTAAACTTCACACAAATGCTTAAGAACTCTTCAGACAAACACTGTAACAGCAAGACTCTTCCACGTAAGGATTTGCATCTAGAAAAACTGGTGCGGTGTTTCGAACATTCTTTATAAGATCTTGGAACAGTTCCTTCTGAATACGTGGAAGAGTCTGGGTTGCACCATTCTAGTCCAGACCGATGGTACTATGTTGCAAAGTGGTAACCAGAATCTATGGAGTCTTTGACATCAGAAGCTTCTTCAAATAAAGATCTCGTTGAGACGGTTGTTTTCCTGTTGCCGAGGGTAAACAGAGCGATGTGCTACTCTTCTTGCAGCTTCTTGCTAAAACTCCTTAAAGTTTTGATCTAGGTTGGAGCTGATGAGACGGTGAGAGAAGATTTGGTTTGAAGCTTCATGAAGCGTCCGTTAAAGATTTGCTGATCCATGAAGTCGAATTGGTTCATCGGATAGTCGAACAGTTCATGGCGGATGAGAAATGTGTCTGAAAATGATTGGTACAAGAAGTTCGTTTTAGGAAACAGTATTTTGTTGAGTGTAGGAAGATTGATTGACGCCTATCTCGCTCTTAACTCTGATCTTACACTCTCTAGCTAATCCCGGAATCAGCTAGGCCGATACATGATGGTCTCTACAAAGCCATTGACACTTCCATGAAGGTAAAACAGAATTTTGTTCAGACTTTCTTGTTTCTCTGAAAAGAATGAAACTTTTTGGGACATTTGAGTAATCTTTGAAGTTGGTTTGTGTAGGAACATCCGGAGCTAACAAAATCTGAAAAGAAGAGGCTTTGCTAGTTAATGGACGTGAGGAAACTGACAAATGAAGCATCAATGCAAGCTGCACAGAACGAACGACTTCCGGGACGAGTGGTGGTGCAAGTTCTATACTTTGAGCAGCTCCGAGCAAATCACAGCCCCGTCGCTTCTGTTGCAGCTTCGTTACACTCGCCGGTTGAGAAGACAGAAGAGAACAAAGGAGAAGAAGCAACGAAGAAGGTGGAGCTGAGCAAGAAAAGCAGAGGAAGGAAAAGAGCACGAGGAGTGGTGGTGGGGCACAGCTGATGCCGTCGAGGTCAAGGAGGATCTTTGAGAAGATATGGCCGGGGAAAGGAGAGAGTAGCAACAAGAGCTCTGAGGTTTCATCTGGAAGCTCACAAAGTCCGCCGGCCAACTCTTCGAGCTCGTCTTCCCGGCGCCGCAGACATTCAATATGAGAAGGTGCGAAGGCATTGCTGCTCAGTGAGACCGAGGTTGTCAAGAGGGCTTATGGGACATGCAAAGCAGCATTCAGGATTACTGCAAGTATACGAAAAATATACACAAAGGCTTCAAGGGGAGACGCAGTTATTGGAATTTAAGTCTTCTTAACAAACATAAAGTTTACAATGGAGTTCAACAAAGCATGACACACCAACCAAAAAACATATAACTTTCTTTTTTTCTTGGTTCTAAAGTTTGTCTAGTTCTTCCTCCTCAAAGCCTCCTCGAGCCCGGCCTTGGTTTTCTCTAGCTCTGTCAAACGCTTATTCAACAAAGCTTGGTCTCTTTGAAGAGATTTGTTTTTGTCGTCGGCAATCTGAAACATGAGATGACATCCATTTTTATAATTGATGTTTGAATCCCACCCAAAAGAATATTAAAAAACACTGCTCTTGCTTGTTACCTTGAGCTTGTAAGCATACGTTTCTTGTAACCCTCCCGAATCCTTGACTGGATCTCGTGGGTAAAGAGAGAAACCTGATGAAAGGACCAAAAACAACAAGGATCAAACTTAACTAGCGAGAGAAAGACCAATTAATTAATCCCCCCACACAACATACCAAGATGGAATCCAACGTAGGCTATTATCCCTTAAACAAAACACCCCTGTATAAACACACCAGTAACTGATGACATCTCAGCCTCCTCCTTGGTTATCGCATCTAGACACACACACACACGCAGCAATCATCACCCAGAGTAATAAAACAAGTAATTATTTCATATTCTAAAGAGTAAAAAGACCGACCTTTCCGAATCAGGGAGGAGCAGTCACGAGATCGGAGGTGCCCTGATGCGACTCGTCCGACCTTACCAAAGATGGATCCCCTCATCTTCTTACTCATTAGGTTTTGGAATTGGGAATTAGGGTTACTTCTGAATTACCTGGAAATTAAATAGGATAGTGTAAAGAATATAATGTTTATTTGAGAATTCTGTCTGTTATTACATTTTTTAATCATCATTTATATCATCAGTATTCACAGTACTATGCTTGCACAAAATAACCAAACTTAACCGAAAACCTGAGCAAGGCAAGTCTGGGAATTGACTGAGAAGCTTTCATTGTCTCTTGAGGAATCGAAAATTTATTGACCACAAAAAAAATCCTCAGACATGAGTTTGTGTCAAGTCAAGTCTGGGAATTGACTGACAAGCTCGTGTCTGAAGATGTTTTCCTGGTCAATAAGTCTCATGGATGAGACGGTGAGGCCTTCATCTTCGCTGCTGTTAGCTCGTCGTCATCGGTGGAGAAGAACCGTGCCAAGCAGAACCGGATCTAAAAAACATCTCTACCAACTAATCAAATTCTCAAAAAAATTCCTAAGATATTAGATTCCCTTAAAACAATCATAACTACCTACTAATCTCCAAATATAGAAAATAGCCGATTTCTTACCTTATCTGGGCGGATTTTTCCGGAGACTAGGGCACACCAATGCCTGCTAGCTCCTCCATTTTATATGACCATTACTGGCCCAATAATCCTATAAATAATTTGCTCAATGTGGCCCAATAAAAAGCCCATAAATAATTAGCAAAACGAAAAAAACGAGTTGTTTAGTTTGGTTTGTGTTTCAAGGAAGAACCCTGAATGGCGGGCGATGTGGAATCTAGGATTCTCTGTTGCTAAAGTACGTAATCGAGACCGATTCTTCAATCAATATATCTACCTTTCATTATGGTTTTGGGTTTTTGTATTGATTTTTTTTTTTTTTCTTGACTTCGCAGAGTCTGTTTGGCCAATTCTCCTCGACCATGAAACGTGTATGGGTGCAAGAGATCAGCCAGAAGAAAATCAGTGTATCTGTAGGCCTGTGCTGCTCAGTTATTGCCGGTTTTTGTACCGGTGGTATGTGGATTTGAGTTTTAAAAACAAACACAAAAACATTTCAACTTTCCATTAATAATTTTTTTTCCTGATTGCCTGACAATTCTTCCAGCGGAGGCGGAGTTAGTATATCTGAGGAAACAACTTGTTAAAGTAGAATGGGAACGTAACATGCTGACTGAACAGCTTGAAGATATACAAAAGGCTGGTGATGCTAAAAAAGTTGAGGTAATCTCTTAGTTTTATAACTTGTGTGACAGTGTGTGTGTCCCATTAATTGTGCTAATATCAATTCGTATCCGGGAACCAAATGTCTGAATTTCAGGTTAGATAGATAGGTGGATATAAGTTGATGATTGAATGTGCTGATCTAAATGTGAATTTGGTTCGGTTTGGTTGTTTGATGGTTCCAAATGTTACAACAGTATTGGTTAAACCACTCCTGTCTGTGTTTCTTTCAGGCGAAGAAGCTTGCTAGGTTGGCTAGAGAAGAAGCTTTGTGAATCTGAAATCTTCTATCCTCGTATTGTACTATGTATTTTGACACAGTTGCCAACAATAACTTTGTCTCATCATATTAAATTGAGAGTCGTTTGGTTATAGAAATTGCTATGGTCACCCAAGATCTACGTAAACTACTTGTTTTGTTAAACATGTATAAAGAACTCAAACATTTGCTGAACCTACCTTCAAGTGTCCAAAACCATTGGGGCTTCAAGAGAAACCCGGAAGACCAAATACATGTATCTAGTTCTTGGTTTCTATTGGATCACAACTCAACCAAATGACCAAGGATGGGCCAAATCCGCTGAGGATAATACTCTTAGCGTCCGAGACTTATTGATGCAGCACCGATGGATGTAAAGTGACTGTTTCAGGACATCCAGGAGGACCTTTACTAATTGTTCTTTCATGCCTGCCAGATTGTGAGTGAAACTATCCCTGCTCTTCAGAAACTGAAATAGGAGGGGAAGACCCGGTTTCTTCCGGTTCATCGGTTCCATGATAAAAGCAGTTAATAGCATCAATAATATCTACCTGAGTTTCAGCTTAACCAAGTTATTATGAGGGTAAACCATGGTTGGTTTAGCTTTGGTTTAACATTCTTGGTTTGGTCTATGTCTATATATAATGTCTGAGAGATTTGGAGAGAGTTTATCGAGTATTTGGAGGAAACTTAGGGGGAGTGGGAGGAGCTCCATTAACAAAATCCTCAGTTCCTTTTGTAATTCCAGTTCTATAATCTATCAAATCCATTTTCTATAAGCTACTCGTATCATTCCACTGGTCTTTCACTTATGTTCTTGAATCTTGATCGAGTACCTCCAGGGACAGTCAACGTCAATGCGCAAAAATCTACTGATGATACTCATTACTTGCAATAAAGAATTCCACCGGTCTATGCGCAAAAATGAGATACCTTGCAATAACAATTTTCTGTCAAACTCCGCTTTTCTAAATTCGGAGTGTCAAGTTTTTAAGTGTCCTGTGATAATTTGTTTTTTCATCTTCTGTGAGAGGATTCCATTATAATAATGTTGAAAGGCCAAAGTGTAGAATTTTAGAAGAAGCTTGATTGGATACAGGTACGGTGCAATTCCTACCGTGGATAGTGATTTACAGGTGGAATGTGTAACATTTCACCAAACAGGGACAGTGGCAACTAGTTTAACTAAAAGTAAACTTCGCACAAATGCTTAAGAACTAACTCTTCAGACAAACACTGTAACAGCAAATCTAGACTCTTCCACTTGGATTTTCATCTAGAAAAACTGGTGCGGTGTTTCGAACATGCTTTATAAGATCTTGGAACAGATCGTTCTGAACATGTGGAAGAGTCTGGGTTGCACCATTCTAGTCCAGACTGAGAAGATTCAGGCACACGCTGGGCAAGCAGGCGGGCTGCGTCTTTCCACCATGAAACCTCAGTTTCTTTCTCTTGTAGTCTGCGTTCAACACGATTCAGAGCAGTCTCAAGCTTCACTAACTCTTCTTGTTGCCTTGTCTCCAGTAGTTCATGCAGCTTTTTCTCTAGTTCGTACGGACAGACTCCATACCTTTCATCAGTCACCACCACCATCTCTGGTATATGACTCTTTGTGACCTCATTGTCCTACAAACACCAAAAGAATCACAAGTCTGAGAAAGTGAGAATCAAGAGCCTGTTTCATAATTGCTTAAACAATTGAAAGCCAACATAAGAAGATAAAAAGGGTTCTTTTGTTATACTTTAAGTTTGCATTGTCTCTGAATCTGATGCTTTGTATGTCTATCCTCTGCTTTTTCATCCAGAGGTAACCTACCTACCTCAGCCTGGAGTTTTGAGTGGCAGTCTGTTCCTCGATGATGATCCTCTGGTTTTGAGACCTCGAATTCGGTGTACTCCTCTTGAAGAACACTCGACGATGACTCTTGGAAAATGGATGACGCCAAATTCGAGAATTCTTGAGGAGAAAACTGGTAGCCGCTTGCTTCATTTGAAGACATAGAAGGATTTGCCTGTAGTTCTTTCTTGCGTAATTCTTCTTTTGCATTAAGAAGAAACATCTCCATTTGCATACGCAGGTTTGTCATCTTATCAAGCTCGGTTTTACTTGCAACAACAAGATAGAACAAAAAAGAACCAATTCCCATTTCCAAAGGTGCTTCTCTGCTTTGTGATTCTGCACAAAGAAAACCAAGTATAAGTCTATAAGCATAACCTAACCAAAGAAAACTCCTGAGAAATCAGATCCCTTTAATGTTTCTGGCAAAACTTGTTTACCTATAAGAGGATTCTTTTTCAAATTCTAAAGACAGTTCAATCTTCTTGTACACCAGGCCATTTCCATAGAATCAAAAGCGTAGGAAAAGTTAAGAAAAAACGCAAGCTTCTCACCAAATGTATTAGCTTCCGGCTCTCTACTCTGGTTCAGGCGTTTCGTCGAACAGCTTATGGGCGGTAATTGGTACCTTCTGGTATCATCTTCTTGTTGCTCCCCTGCATCTCTCTTCCCTTTGGAACTTCTCAACCCAGAAAGCCACCGACCCACGACCCTCCGAGGGGTATAACACTCCACGACAGTGCACCCATCTCCCCTTCTTCGCCGCGAGCCTTCCATTGAAAACGAATAATCATGGGTCTTTGGGTTTGGAACAAGAGAGGAGATTTAAAAGGAAGATGGCTTCGTAGGAGGGACCAAGATCGGATAGACATTGATAATGGTGGGACGGAGTCGTAACAGAGAGCGATGAACAGATGGGGAGAGAAATTAATGAGAATCACGAGACTTGCAGAGAGAGAGAGAGAGACAGAGAGTTTATGGAGGGAAACTCTGATTTTTCTTATTTGAATTTTTACGGGAATCTTTCTTCAATCAATGTAATACTAACTTAATTAATTTTACTTGGTAACACATTATTAAAGAATCACTAACAAAACTTTCATGTCCAATTCTTATTTATTTTCTCAAATGACTCCAAATTTCTAATAAATGAAAGAGACAATCGTGATTGAATATTTATGGTGACCCTTTTTTAAACACAGCATTTAATCCATATGTTTTTCTTCGGGACAAAATTTTCATATATTCAGACGAACCAATCAATGTTCATCTAACCGAATCTACGATTTATATACACTGAAGTTTACATCATTTTATCTCCTAATCGAAAGATACAATTCAAAAAAGAAGAACCCCGAATTCTAAACAAACAAAAACAAAACATTCATGTTCTAGATTACTCCATTAACCTCCCAGATATAGCAGCAGCAAGAGCAGCTGTAAATTTTGAATCTTTTGTTAACGATGACGCCATTTGTTGAATCAGAACCTCTTGCATCGTATTCCTTTCCTTCTTCTCCAAAGCTAATAAGCTATGACCACCATTAACCAGATCCAAAGTCACTGTGCTTGACCCACCCTGGCTTGTAACATCCCCTTCAGAAGCGTTTGGACCCAAGTGGTTATGCGTTCCTTCGTATGTTGCTACCAGTAACGATGGATCCTCTGCGCTGCGTTGTACCTGAACCACTGATCATTAGACAGCTGAAGAAGCAAGCAGAAATAAAAAGATTACAACAAATGAGGGTATAAATATATCAAACTCAATGAATGTTAATTACCTTCTTTTTTACTGGACAAGACGGTGCAAACGAGCATCTAAAGTAAGCTCTAGGTGATGGGTTGTCTCTTGTAACCTTTTGTCCGTATTTCCTCCACTGAAATCCATCTTTTACTGTCTGCAAAATAACACTCTGCTTAGTCATATGCCTCTATGCAATTTCAAACAAAGTTTTTCTACAAACACTGTCTCTTTAATCAAAAGTTTCACAGACAAAATCCCTTACCAAGCTTGTGTCCGATGTTTCAGTAGGCACGTAGACTGTGGAAACCTTTGCTTTGTTGAAGCTATCAGTGACTGGTCTTTTACATGAAAGAAGCTGATTTTTCTGCTCGTGTTGCTGATGATCTTCATTGCTGGAGCTGTTCTCAGTTTTCCCACTACTGAGTCCAATAGGAAAGCCTAAGAAGTCATCCGGGTCTTGTTTTCTTTTCTTTATCGGTTTGTCGGTCTGATCGATTTCAGGGCTCTGAAGTTTCTCCAAATGATTATGTAGTGCGTTGTAGCTCTCACAGACTCTAGCTAACATCTCTGTTAGCTTCTTGTTCTCTGAATTGACTCTGTTTAGCTCCTCTCTTAACTCACTTGCGCTCTGTTCATTACCACCATAAAGATCAAATTACTAAGAAGATTCTTCCTTTTTGTTCCAAACAAATTGATTATGTAAAGTTTCAGACTTTATACTTTATCATCACCGATTCATTTCGATACAAAGAGATATGAAAAATATTCAGACATTCAAATTCAGACCCATCTTAATTGATTCGTAAAGTACTGAGGTGAAGTTAATGAATTGTTAAAAGGTGAAGACTTGTTCGAAGAATTTACTAATCATCATCGATCACACTGATGAATTATATTATACAAGAATCGAAAGTATGAAGTCGAAGGTATTGCACACCAAGTGTTCGACGAAAGAACTAACCTCGTCTTGCTCCAGCCATTTCCTTTTTAAATGAGTAGAAGCCGAAACCGAGACTTCCTTCTTCTGAAATATGAAAAGTTGAAAGGAACCCATGATTAATGACCACAATCCCAGTTCATAGAAATTGAAGGGATACAAAAATTCAACTTAGATTTCGGAAAAATGGACTCACCGGAAGTTTTGCGGGGAAGGGATTGTTGTTGAGAGCGAGAGAGATGTCGAGAAACGAAGAACCATCCATAAAATAAATCTATAAGTTATCTTAAGATACAGACCAAATGACTGGTTGGTGCGTAGAGACTAAGTCTTAATTTGCTTTCTTCGGTCACAAGTTGGTCCGAGTGAATGAGAAGTTCCTCAGAGCAAGCGGGCTTTATTTATACTAAAACTACAAAGATAGAGACAAGAAATAAATAATAATTTATTTACTTTATAACAGACATAATATTAATATATAAATTTATCAGTGTGGGAAAAGTAAAATTTGTAGAAAATAATTTTATCCTAGGTCAAAATATAAGTTTAATAAATTTTATTGTGTTACAATTTACAACAGATCATGGCATAACATAGTTTTTATCATGATTAAATTTTTTATATGAGAGCTTTAACCAAAATGAAATTCTCATATATTTTATTAATTAGTTAGTGATTAAAATAAGAAAGTTTTTTAAGAAATGATGTAAGTACGAAAGGAATAAAGAGAGAGGTTTTGGGATATGGTAGGAAGGAAAGTCGTTGGAAAGTGAAGATAAAAAGCTGTCTTTATAAAGTCCAGAAGACATTAAAGACTTTGGGAAAAAAGAAGAAAAAGCACAACAAGACATAGAAAGCTGTCTATTAAGTATTTTAATCACAGCGATTGGCTAAAAATATGGGATCATTCTGAATTGAGTTATATCTATCGTATGTAGTTTTCGAATGCGGGCGGGTATGTATGGGTTAAATTTACTGTCGTAATCATCTCTATAGTACATGTTAAAAACAAGATCTTTCATTATGGATAAAAATACGTTATACGATGAAGGAGACAAATATCGTTTCTAGTAGACTATTAAAGATACAGGTGATTACCATAGACATGTTTCCCAAAATAATATATCCACATTTACAAATTTGAAAAGTTTGTTGCAACTATTTGACAGAAATTAGCTAGGTTGTATATATATCAAATTTTAAACTAATTATATAAAGAATATATTTTTCAAAAAAAAATACTAATTATATAAAGAAAGTTTACATAGTTAAACTATTAATATAAAGAAATTTTAAATAGTGAAAAATTATGTCCAAATATATTGATATAATTATATACGAGAAAATTAATTTCTTATAGTTGCAGTATTTACAATATGATTAAATTTTAATATTTTTTGTGTATGTCAAATTCGGAGGATAAGCAAGCTAAGCCAGAAGTTTAAACCACCAATTATTATTTTTGATAGGACACAAATGTTTTTGATTTTTTACCTAAATTTTTTATATATCTTTAACATATTTCAACTACAAAAAGAACTACATTACTGTTGGGACTATTATTTTTTTTATTTTTTATTTTTCTATTATTTCTTTTTGATAAACATGGAAAAAAAAAAGAGAGAGAGACATAATTACTACTCCTTCCCTTTCAAAATATAAGGCGTTTTAGCAAAAAACACGCCGATTAAGAAGATCTACTTTTTAAAAGTTCAGCCAATCATAAAAGAGACTGCGTAATAAAAATAATCATAAAATATTAAAGTAATATATAATTTGTATAGAAACTTGAAAACGACTTATATTGTGAAACAAAAAAGTTTTTCCAAAACGCTCTATATTTTGAAACGGAGGGAGTATTTCTTTTGGACCGGTTTCGTTTGGTAGCACATATTTGATGATAATATGAATAGATATTTGGTTATTTTGATAATTTCGGTGAAAGGTAAATCTCTTACTTTTGTAATAGTATATGAATCGTGATTTATTTTTGCTTTAATCACTGTTAGGTGGTACAATTACAAGAAATCTCAAATACCGTCCAAAGACTTGAAACGTTGAATTTTTAAGTCTCGATCCAAAACCAACTAGAAATAAATGATAAAAATTAGTTATGCAACTTATAAAAGCAAACAAAAAAGAAGCAAGTAGAAGAAAGATCAGAAAAATCAATAATTTCGGCGGGGCAGTGTCCCATGCTGAAGAAAAATTTGGACGTCATACATAAATAAATTCAATACCGTGGATCCGTGTTTCCTTTATATCCTCTTCAATTTCACAATTTTATTTTTATTTTGTCCACCAGATCCATAACAATTACGAACTTTCCCTTGACTTGCTTGACCATTGACTGTGATTTGTAGGTCGGCAATTCTTTTTCTATTATATCATTCTCTTACTATTTGATAAATAATTCATTGATTGATATTTTACTGTGCAATAGGTTTGTTTGTTTGTTTGTTAAAGTGTTATTTTTAGTACAATACTTAAAGAAAATGTGTTAAATTGAGTTGTATATAGTATTTAACATCGTTAACCGTGTGATATTATATAACACGCAACAACTAAGATTCTTTTTTTTAAGTACTTCTTATATTTTATTATATAAGATGTTTAAAAAAAATTATTTTATTTAATATTATAAAATATTCTGCAGAATTTTATACAAATTTATATATTGTTATAGCTTGTAAATATTTATATTCTACAGTTTTTTAATAATTGAATGAATTTTTTAGTTTAAATAAAAATAATATTTTAAAACACAAATTATTTAAATATATATCTTTACCTTAAATATTTTTTATTTTGAAATAGAATGAGTACTTTAACAACAGATATAATGTATCAAATTACTTTTTTATTGTCGAGAGAATTTTTTGGGAAAGCGACCAATTCACATTGCATGATAAATCTAAGTCGGTAAAAAAAACTTTCTAATCAAAGAAGGGTAAACTAAAATATAAATATTAGCCGACAACCAAAAAAAATGATAAATAAATTGAGAGAGTGAAACAAAAAACGTGGAAAATTTTGGGGAGAGAAAGACAAAGAGGGTGAGCCCACACGGGAAAAGGGCAACAAAATCTTGACCGGACTCGACCGCGACTTCCAACTTGAGAGAAGCTTTTATTATTAGGATGATGGTGTGAACAAGTTGCCACCTTGGGCGGCTCCGACACCGACCTCTTTTTTTCTTGTCACTTTTTTTGTTTGTTTGTTCAAAGTTGGGATTTTAGTGTCATCTTAATTATTCCCTTTTTTCAAACACAAGGATACAAATGCTAACCACTATTCCATTAAGATTTACAAAGATCGATTATTCGATGAGATTCTTAGAATCTACTATCAATCTAGTTTATTGATGTAAGTTGACAATTTTGATTAATTAAGACGGAATCATATAGTAGAAATATTCAAACTTGTTATTAAACTATCTGAGATTTTTTTTTTTTTTTAACATTTTTTTTACCGGACCAAATACCTGTTTTCAAATAAATTCACGATTTAGTCTGATTCTCATTGAAGTCTTGACTTCGGGTATATTCGGTTAAGCTAGGTACTCTATGCGGTTTTTGCTCTTCAATGCATAAATTCCATGTGACATGCACTTCAAAGAAAAAGCTTTATGCGATCTCTATGAATCGAATCAACTTGAAAGATCAAATCATAATATTTTTTTTAATACAAAATATAAATTGTTCAAACAAGAGACTTTTGATATCCTTTCCAAATTATGTATATACTATATAATATATAACAAAACGTTTTTATACCACTGTGAAAATTTGATTTAATAATACAAAGCAACATGATCAGTTTTGGAAAAAAAAAAGTGTGTTTATTTTTTATGAACGGTAAAAATAAAATAGCACTATGACATTTTAAAGCATGAAAGTGATATAGCGTATAGTATAAGTTAAGGCAATTATCGTCCAATTTTTCTGGTGGGGAAGAATTTTTAGTTGTTGGAAACAGAAATTCAGATGTTAGGAGGAGATATCAAATGCCTATGCTGAAATATTCACCAAAAATTGGACAATAAATATAGGGGAATATTTTGAGTCCAATTTTGAGGGCAATGTTTCTTCTTGGGAACGCTTTCTTATGCCCCTTTCTAAAATAAAGAGGTCGAGATACATTATATATGGAAACGAACAAACAATCGTTCTAAGTGTGGAAGGAATTTTGAGAGATTCGGATGCTGGGAACTATAATATTGCGGAAAGCTCTCTTTGTACCCTTTCTTCTTTTTTCCCCGAAAACCATTAAAATTTACTAAAAATCAGATTAATCTATGTGAAATAAAAAAAAAAACTAGATTTCCCTACTACGTAAAACGTCTGTAATAGCTACAGAAAATTAATAATGAGGATTCGTATAGTGGAATGATTTGTTCCCTGATGTAGACCAAATAGAAATTTCTCATCACTTGAAGTTTGATATTGAAATTTGGACCCAAACTTTTTACACCACATTGATCATAGGTAAAGTGATATAGATCGCTGATGACAGTTGACGAATAACAAATGAAGATATTGGTCAAGCTGGATATTGTTAACAAGAGATGAATAACAATAATATTATTAGTGAAGAAATTAGTTAGGGCTCATGGAAAAGTTACTTAAAACAAATATATCATGGTTGGAATTTGGGAAAATCAGAAAGTTTTAGTTTAATGATACTAGATGGAGTGATAAGTCTTATCATAAGACCTTATAAGACGAGCATATATCTTTTTGAGTCATCTTCTAAAACTCTCCCTCTCGGTCTCGGATACATATTCTACATGGCGACGTCGATAAGATGACGTCATCACGATCAGCATCATGATCGTGCAATAACCACCTTACGATTTTATATTTGTCTCTTTTGTTTATTTGGAAATTTGTATGCTCCTTGTAAAATTCAACGAAGAAAGACTATTTGAATAAATTTCATACCGCCTGAAATCACAATAGAGGTTTTTGTTTTCTCATTTGTATTTCTCTTCATATCGGAGATTAAACATATTTCTGATCATGAAAATTATTATTTATTTTCTTCAAATTTAATCATGAGCTCGTATGTGCAAAAACTATTCATATAACCGATTAAATTACTAGCTTTACTTGGTCAATTTCTAAATAAAACAGAATTTTGGATAATTATTTAAATCTGTTATGATAGATTTAGGTAAAATTAAATGTTTACGTAAATATAAAATTTTAAACATAAGGCTTCAGCCGAAAGAGTATATACAAGGCACAAAAAAATATTTTAATCAAAAAAATGATTATGACAAAAAAAATATTTTGAACTATAAGGACTATAATATATACAATGCTGGTAATTAGTGTGTACGAAACAATGTTGCTTGACTACAAAACTTCTACAGCGTAACCATTTTAAATGAACATATATCGATATATTTATATATAGTATCTTTAAGAAAGACTTAAGTTGATGATGAGTCAAGCTAATTTAAAAGCTAAAACCAAAAGGAATAATTTATCTGTTAGAGATTTTGAGAACTAATAGAAAATGGACCAAAGCGATTTGTTTGTAAGTAAAAGTAAAACTATAGACTAGTTGCTCAAGTCATGCGACAATCTAGCCAAACGTATTCCATGTATGTTCTCTTTCTAAATGGTGATATACATTCATGATTCATCAGCCTCCTTACGTAAGTAATCCTACGTCACCGTTTGTGCATCACATCACCTATGATTCATCAGCCTCGTTAAAAGGTTTACTTGTCAAATTTTAAAATGACTTTGAGTGGAATTATTGTTAAAAAAAAAGTCATGATTTTTAAATTGTGGTCTCAATTAGGACCAGAGCTTTATACCAACTTTGAAAAAAGTAAGACTCGGGTTTTGATATCTAAAACTATAGAAAGAGTCGGATATTTCTATGTGTTAGATTTTATTTAATGTTTGCTTCATAGAAAATTCTGATTAACCCGACGATACCTTTTCGATTAACATTAGTATATGTGAACATTACAAAGTTTTTTCTCAGTTCTAAGGCGATAATAAAATACAATCTTTGGACATGTGGTGGTTTAAGGAGACAATCTAAGCCAATATCTCTTGAAGGTAATCAACCCTCAAGAACCAGACCGAACAGAAACAAACCGAAACGACCTCTATTTTGGTTTCAAATTCTCAAACCAAACCAAATATATCCCAAAATAAACTTCTCTCTGAAACAAAGCTCTGATACAAAATCCACCTCAATCTATAGCCAAATGAATATTTCAATATCCACCTTTCAAATTCGAAGTCACACCATAACTATGCTTACAAAATTCACTACCAAAACCACGAAAGTAAATAGAAATGGAGAAGAGTATTTCACATATGGGTTCCTAGTTTCAATCTGTTCCCCTTCCTGCTCTGCCTTGAAGCTTTGCGAGTAATGATAAGAGTCTTCTTTAGTTTTGTGGTCTTTTAGTTTCCACTTTTGTATTTGTAAAACTCTAACATCTCTTCTTCTACGGGATGAGTCTCGCCTACTATCACAAGACAATGCAACGGTGCTCCAAAATCAACACTCTCGAGTTGCTTCATCGTCCCTGCAACTATCGTCTGGTCCTCAGAGCCAAGCCGCGCAAAGCCCACACACTGTGTGTCTTCTCCATAAACAGAATCTCCGTGCTTTTGCTCAACTTCGAGAAGCTGCTCGATCGCTGTATTAACACTCATATATCTCGGGGGTTCATACTGTTTCTTCCCTCCTCTGCAGAGAGATTCAAAAGTAGGCTCCTTCACTCGGATATCTAGCAAACAGAGAGTGTGAAGTCCAAGAGAGCGGTTCTTCTTGATCTTCTCATAAAAACTATCAGGTCTCCAAGTCTCGGTGAAGAACGGGATTGAAACAGTCTCTCCATAATGGTAAAGCTGCAATCCACAAATCCCAACAGCATTCATCACCGATGCATTGTGCACTACCTCTACTTTTACACCGAGTGTCTTCGCTCGAACAACAAGATCACTATGTGTTGTAGCTCTGCAAAATGCATTTCCAACAAAACAACATAAATCCCAATCTAAATTGTATCGTATCTAACTAGCTACATTAGCTATAAACTGAATACCAAGACAGTATGATAAAGGTGTCAAATTATGTACCCGAAAGGATCACCAACAACGAGAAAAGCGACATCATTATGAATGGCTTCTTCAATCATAGCACCAGCCTTTTCTTCCACCATTTCTCTATCAGCAAGTATAATTGGTTTCCCATAAAACTTTTCCTGAGAAACAATCCCAGAGGAGCTTTAATCAGAAAATTGTGAAAGTAGTCAAATCTAAATCAACGAGGCTTTGAGAGTGCTTACTAGATTGGAAAGACCATCAGCAGAGAGACCAAAGGACAAAAGAGAAGTGTAAGCTTCCATGTATACTTTCTGAGATTTCTTAACAGCCTCGAGTCCTCTCAAGGTTATATCTTTTTCATCTCCTAAACCTAACCCTATAATATACAACATCTCTTCTACTAATCTTCTGCTTTCTCTGAAAACAGACAAAAACAAACCTTAAAACATGAATTAATCACTCAATCAGATAATCACATGAACGACCTAGAAAGACAACGACCAGCTGATGAACTTAAAATCTAAGGAAAATCAACAATCCATAGACTTGAAGGATCAAAAGATCGGGTTTTTACCTGATGAATTGCTTTGACGAGGCTTTCACTCGATAAACCTCAGTGAGCGGCCGATAAGAAGAAGGTCAAAACTCAAAACCCTTTTTTGTCCTTTTTTTCTTTCTTCTTGCTTTCTGTTTTTTTTTTCAAGTCCCATGAAACACTGTCGTTTTCTGGAGTTCTTATAAATTACTCTAATTGGGAGTTTAATTAATTTATACTATTGTTAAAAAAAAAAAAAGTGAATAATCGGCCCTGATTATTGCATTTAGGGCAAAAAAATACTGTGATATTATTACACTCTTGTCTAAGAAAGGGGATTGAGTGATTGAATGAATAGAGTTACAAGATATATTATTAGGCAGTGCAAGAGAGTTGAGGAAGACAATTTTTTTGACGGACAAGCTCGTGCATATCATGCACTATCTTGAACACTGCTTCTGGTCTAGCCAGCCTCAATGCATTCTGTGACATTATCTCCAGCTCTTTCGATGCCGGTCCAAACCAATCCGCTACAATTTTCGATATCTCTTTTGGTGATTTTGAGAATTTCCCACATCCGTTCTCCACCACGTACGGTACATTCCCTGCCTCCTGCGCTCACAATCAAAAACCCCAAAAATTTGAAAACCTGAACCCAACATAAAAATGGGAAGGTTTTAGAGTGGAACTTACTTGACCAGCAATGTAACCGTTTAAGATTATCGGTAGCCCTCTTATCATTGCTTCAGCTATAGTGCCTGGACCAGCCTGCACAAGCCCAAGTCACAAACATAAATGAAGAAACCATCATTCAAAAGTCACTCTAGTTTCTGGTACAGTAGAGACTAGGAATGTTCAATCCAGGTCTCCGCTTTAACAAAAGCGGAATCTACTATCAGATCGATTTACATAGTTTTGTTTTTGGCTTTTTTCAGTTTACCTTTGTTATGATGCAGTCACAGGCACCCATACATTCCTCCATTTTTGTTATAAACCCCTTAACCTGTGACATAAAGAAAACTGTTGCAGCGACTTACATCGAATGCCTAAGATGCAAATTTGGTTTTACGGGTCAGAAATGTAGAGTACCTGGACTGGGATTTTCCAATCTAAGGAGCTTAATTTGCTTTGGAGTTTCTTGTTCCGTCCACAGATTACAAGAACCTGACCTACTGCTTCACCAAGACTCTCATCATACAAAGACTCTGCAAGTGCTCTTGCTGTTGCCTCGATGGGACCCATCCCTTCTCCTCCACCCATTAACAAAACAGCTGGAAGATTCTCATCCATCCCTAGCTCCCTTCTTAATTCAACCTGCGATTTTTCGGAGAGATACTATTAAGTCTGAAGAAACAAACAACAGCTCGGAAAGTTTCTAAAACCGACCTTTGGGCGAACAGGCTTCACAAAGGAAGGTCGAACAGGAAGGCCATAAACTTTGATTTGTGATGTTTCAAGTCCTGCTTTTTGAGCCCTTTTAGCCACTTCTGTTGATGGGCAATAACATCTTGTCACAAGCTTATGAAACCTAACCATCAAAACAAGCATGTTGTAACTATATATCAAGAAAATATCCCATAGAACCTTTAACACGAATGATTTGATAAAATTACTAACCATGTGGGATGGCAAGTGCTCAAGTCTGTAATAACTGTGGTGAACACGATTTTCTTAAGCAAGCCTTTTGATCTTAGGACACGAAGTGGGACATGTTGCATCAACGGATGAACACTGATTATGATGTCTGGTTGATATTTCATTAACCCTTGGGCGATTTCCCTGTAAGTTTTAAAACATTGGTATCAGATTGGACAAGAAAAAGACACGAGACAATTCTATAAGAGAAGCAAAGACCAACAAAAGCTATAGGCTAAATATGATGCTCCTTTCTCATAGGAACAATTGAAAACTCTTGAGTAGAATCTTCTCAAAATTATAGTTGGAACAGACAAATGAATTAATTTGAAGGAGTAACCAAACTATAGACCTTAATCCTCACCTGGCAATAAAAGTCGAAGTTGCAGCAAAATTAGATTGATGAATAATGCGTGGAGATGTACCATAATAAGTCATTTTCCACAGAGTTCCATGTTTCACCAGAAAATTATAGCTCCTGGGAAGCTGGTTGAACGGCCAGGGCGTATGATCTGTCCACAAATCCGTAATAAACACCTGCGCAAGCACTCTTAATGAACGGAACAAAATCAACAATGGCTCACACTACTTAAAGTACCAAAGATTTAGACTTTCAATGTATTTGGTTGATTATCCCAAGAACCAAATTTAATTTAGACTCTTCAGCTGGAACATTCCAACGCAACCAAGTGAATTAAACGCAATTCTATTTACTTACATGAACCAAACAACTAAAAACTTATTTTCTCTAATTCAAGAAAACTTTAAACCTGACTACAAGTTTATACTTAAACTGAATCTGAAGCTTCTAAGGAATCTAAAACTAAGAAGAAAGAATAGAGATTCTCCGAACATCTCATTGGTCTTAGCAGCCAAACAGACACTTCAATTTATAACGAAAACTTGTAAGAGTCTCAAACTCAAATCCATCAACCAATACCAATCGTGATTCTACCAAAAACAAAAAGGAAGGAAATGTCAAGACGAACCTGGTACTCATCTCCAAACTCCTGGTTAAAAGCAGCTTTAATGGCTTCCGCAGAAGCTCTGTGGCCACCACCAGTATCACTCATCAAAATCAAAACTTTCTTCGGCCGATCAGCTTCGACGCCATTCAACGGCAAGCCCTCCTCACCCAAAACGCCACCAGTCCCATCTTCCCTAATACCATTCTCATCGCTCGACAATCCGACTCCTCCGACGGAGGCAAAGCTCTCCGGAACCACTTTATCGCAGTGAAACCTAATAAAGCTATTGAAATCGCTGATAAACCTACGGAGACTCGAATCGGCACTGCTCTTAGTGTTGAAGCTCAGGGAAGCTAGGGTTTTTCCCGTCCTTCGGGAGGGTAAAGTCCGGAAACCATTGAAGTACAAGGCATTGGGCGATGAGAGAGCGTACCCATCTGAAATCGAACACGGAGATCGATTTCGAGAGGCAAAACCTCTGAGCCGTGGGAAGAAATCAAAGACCGGTGCCGCTGATTCCTGGGTTACCGTTGAAGGGTTTTGCATATTTGATAGAGAGAGAGAGAAGAGAGATTCAAATAGACATGAATGATCAAGCGTGTCGCGGGAGAGATTGGAACCACAAAGATAGGATTTTTAAGAGCAGAGTGGATGATGGATTCAGGACGATGACGATATTGGAGTTTTGTTGTTTTTATGTAAGAAGGAAGACACTGCTTTTGGCTAAACCGAAAAACTTATCCGAATATTCTGTGGGCAATTTCTACCAAAATTCAGGTAACCAATCAACCAATTTATGTAAATGTAAATATCGTGTACACATTAATAGTTTCCAAATAAAAAGAATAAAAATATATATTTGTGATTCTCTAATATCAAGTTAAAGCTTATAAACGGATGTCGGCATAATGGACGAATTAATACCAAATTTTTAGCACTTTACTTATCAGCCATGGTTCTTTATCATAAAAGGCATTTGTTTTTGGTTCTTACATGAATGATATCACTATCACCTCTAAAAATCTAAAGTAACAATGAGCGGAAATGTTCAATTTTTTTTTTTGTGTGTATTAATATGTTTATTTTGTTTTTGATGAAAGAGTGAAATATCATGAGTTTGTTAGTGGTTTTAACCAATTGATTATGAATTATGTTTTTATATTCTAGATTCATATAGTTTAGCTCAATTCTCTCTCTTTCATTTTTCAACCAATAGATTTTCCGCCACTGACCCGAGCCATCCAAGCCACATGGTAGATAGTAGATACTAGTATGTATAGTCTACATGAGACATGAGTACATGGTTTCGTTGGTAAAATAATTCATGAACACTTAAACAGCGATTCTTTTCTTTTCAAAACAACGATTCTTGTTTCTAAAAAAAAAAAAAAGAGTTATGACCCCGTTTACCAGGAAAAAGAAGAAGATGAAAAGAGTTATAATTCGATTTTAGACGTATTATTGCAATAATTAAGATTTTAAAACTCGAGAGTCAACGTTGGCATTCTGATGCGCATGAAACACATGCTTCCAATTCTCTCAACTTGTTCCTCTATCTTATACGAGTATAGTCTAGTATAGTTTTTGAGGTACTTTTGTTTTGTTAAAGTATTTGAGAAACTTAGACATAATAAGTAAATTTTTAAAAAGGTTTATATTAGATTCATTAGAAAGGAGAAAAGTGGAAGGAACTCGTCGTGAAATAGAATTCGTTATTAGTAAGAGTACGGCCGACCAAAGAACAAGAAAAAGGCAAGCATGGTGTGAAAGCTAAAAGATGGCGAGGCATGCCTTTCACATGCTTTCAATTCTAACACAAAACGTGTTTTAGAAGGAAACTACGACGAACCTGACCAAAATTATTCTAAGATAAGATCTAACAAATGTCAAATATAGGTGCAAACCTAGGATATCCCTCACATTCTTTAGTTTCATTTTACATATTTCAAGAAAACTTAACAGACAAAACTAATTATATATACAACTCATAATCAACAGCTGAAACTATGATTATTAACCCATAATCAAAAAAGAAAGACAGACCATTATGAGCCAAATGACGATCTTCCCTATTTTAGATTTTACAAAGGACTAAAATCAAAACTCGCGGTAAAACATGGAAAACGGTTAAATGTTTAGTGGGTTCTTGGGCCCAATTTAGCATTCCGTCGGTAACCTTCATACACCGCCGTTGATTGTTCTTCTTCATTCCGCGCCGCCGTCCCGCGATTTTTTTTTTCTTTTGTTCGAAACGACGTGGTTTGGTAATTTATGAAAACGATGTCGTTGTTGTTCTTCTCCTTCTTCTCAATTTTGATTCTCAAAAACAAACCCTAAATCCCCGCTTCTTCTCTGCTCTTACTCAATTCGTCTGACTCTTGGTACTTGCCCACTACTCGAATTCAAATCGAAAGTTGAGCTCGTCGAATTTGTGAAACCCTAAAATAGTAGAATTCAGAGAGATGAAGATTGCTATTGAAGGTTGTATGCATGGAGACCTAGACAATGTGTATAAAACAATTCAACATCATGAACAGATTCACAACACTAAAGTCGATCTCCTCCTCTGCTGCGGCGATTTTCAGGTAATCGTAAAGTTTTTACCTCGAAAAAAAGATCCATTCGATTCTGCTTCTTAATTCTGAAAATTCGTTCTTGCTGGAAAAAACTTAGGCTGTTAGAAATGAGAAAGACATGGATAGCCTCAACGTACCTAGAAAATACAGAGAGATGAAATCTTTCTGGAAGTACTACTCCGGCCAAGAAGTTGCTCCGATTCCCACAATTTTCATTGGTGGGAATCACGAGGCTTCTAACTACTTATGGGAATTGTAAGTTTTCTACTACTTGAATTAGGTTTCTGAAGCTCAAAATTGTGTTCTTGATGGTTGCTTGTTGTTGTGCTATAGGTATTATGGGGGTTGGGCTGCCACCAATATATACTTTTTGGGTTTTGCTGGAGTTGTCAAGTTTGGTGATGTGCGAATTGGAGGCCTTTCGGGTATCTACAAAGAGCGGCATTACCGTTCAGGTTTGTTTCTTCTTCATCTCTCTTATAAAGTACCAAGCTTTTAGCTTTTGAAATAGGAAAAAACTTGGATTTCTGAGTCAGTGTGTATATTGGAAATGTTTAGATTAGGGAACTCTTTGTTTTGTTGTTGTTTGTCAATAAAGTGAAATCAGTCGTTTTTTTGAGTAGGACACTTTGAGCGGCCTCCATATAATGAGAGCACCATTAGATCGGTCTATTATGTCCGTGAGTATGATGTCCAGAAGTTGTTGCAACTTGAAGAGCCGCTTGATATATTTCTCTCACATGATTGGCCTGTTGGTATCACTGATTATGGAGACTCAGAAGCACTTATGCGGCAAAAACCATACTTTCGTCAAGAGGTAAATCTGATCAATTTGGGAACATGATTCTACTTCTTCATTTTGTTTTGAGAGGTTTGCAATTGATTTGACCAAAATTTGTTACAGATCGAGGAAAAAACTCTTGGAAGTAAACCAGCGGCTCTACTGCTAGAAAAACTGAAGCCTCGGTATTGGTTTTCTGCTCACTTACACTGCAAATTTGCTGCTGCTGTTCAACATGGGGATGATGGATCAGTGACAAAGTTTCTTGCCCTTGATAAATGCCTTCCAGGGAAAAAGTTTTTACAGGTTCGTTTTCCTTCCTGTCCACCTTATGCTTTGTTCTTTTGAAACAAAAAGGATATCTTATAATTTCCTAGAATGTTCAATAGATTATTGAAATCGAATCAGAGCCTGGACCCTTTGAAGTCCTATACGATGAAGAGTGGCTAGCAATCACACGAAAGTTCAATTCTATTTTCCCGCTAACAAGGAGATACGCAAACTTCAGGTATACCATCTCGAACAAGCTACCTACTAAGACATGTTTATATATCTTCCATTTATTTTTCTACCCACGGTCCCACTTACGCATTGTTTTGAGACAATAGCACTGCTGGAACTATACAAGAGAGCCGTGAGTGGGTGAGGAAGAAGCTAGAAGAAAGGCAATTTAAACCTTTTGAGTTTGCGAGGACAGTACCTGCATATAACCCATCACAACGTATATTTGATTCCATTCCTGGTAAGTTAAATAATGTTGTGGATATAAAGGATTTTGTCAAGTTGATGAATCAGTGATGAGATATATTAGGGCGTAAAGTATAAGTATAATCGATTAAAAGTGTTTGATTCTTGTGGAATTATGTAGAGATCCCACAAAATCCCCAGACGCTGTCTTTGTTAGAGCTCCTTGGTCTCCCATATCTCCTTGATTCATCACCAGTAACAGGGGAAAGAACCGAGATCCCTGCTTCACCAGCTCCATCAGGTATGACCATAGCTTTCTTTGTAGATGAGGACTTGGTTTGGGATTATCAGATACATATTCTGTGAAGTTGTTCATTTACTCATTCTATCTGCCTTGTCATGGAACTGCATCAAGCACCAATGACAGAGATGTTTTGGTCAGTGTCAAGAATCAAACATGTCTTGTTGCGTATTGCAGATCTTCCGACATATGATAGCGAAGAAATCCTAATTGATGACATTGATGAAATAGAAGAGATAGAAGAGGCAAAAGCGGATGACCCTACGAGAGACGAGGCATGAATATCTCCATTCCAGTGGTCAGAATTTCTGTTCTCTTGCTAATATCTGACTGCTTAATCGTCAAACTGGAAAACAACCACATTAGTTGGGATTCTGTGATTGGAAAACCAGGTTTTTTCTACATTTTTAAAATCAGCATAAGTTTTATTTGTGATTTTAAAGATAAGTGAATCATAAATGTCTCGGAGAAATAAAAAAGATTAGAAATTAATGTTCATCCATTAATCAAGAAAGTTGATCACTTTTTCTTCCAGAATTTCTCTTGCATGCATTGGCTTGTGAAGTTATTCGCTGACAAAACCCATAGATAAGTATGTCGTATTCTCTTAGAACCATGGATGATGCTGGAAATATTGGATTCAACAAAACACGACCATCAATGATTCTTCATTGAATACGTTGACTTAACTTCATCACCTCAACTATTTTTCTATCTCTGACACAAACATCAAATGCAAATTATGAAGTGAACAGTTATAGTTTATTACGACAACCTTCAATATCCTCGTCTCTCTCCGTTTCTATTGTCATTGTCACTTTCCTTTTTGGTTCAAAAACACAGAGACAATAAAATGGCGTCCTCTTACAAACTAAACTATTCCTCTATTCTTCATCTCCTTCTGTTTCTTTCTAGTCTTCTCACTTCCTCCGCCAACCTCTCATTTAATTTCTACGCCGGTTCTTGTTCTGTAGCCGAGTTTCTAGTCAGAAACACCGTTAGATCAGCTACCTCCTCCGATCCAACGATCCCGGGGAAACTCGTCCGTCTCCTCTTCCACGACTGTTTCGTCCAGGTAAGACACACTCATTACGAATTACAAAGGAAAGTGAAACAATTTGGCTTGAGATTTGTTTGTTGTTGCAAGGGTTGTGATGCGTCAGTGTTGATACAAGGGAATGGCACAGAGAGAAGTGATCCCGGAAATGCCTCTCTTGGAGGATTCTCAGTCATAGACACAGCCAAGAACGCCATCGAGATTTTATGTCCGGACACTGTTTCCTGCGCTGACATAGTCGCACTTGCTGCTAGAGACGCCGTCGAAGCTGTAACATTCACTTTACTTCAATCTACTGTATATTGCTCTAATCCGGTTTAACCAATCCCAACTGAACCGAAAGCATGAAATCGACAAAAAAACATATAAACCTATTCTGTATCATTTTCTAATAGAAAAGAAAATAACCGGACTTGGAGATACATAAAACCGGTTATCCTTCTTAAGGTTTGAATGTTTTCTTTTTTGGCGGGACAGGCAGGAGGACCGGTGGTTAAGATTCCGACAGGGAGGAGAGACGGGAAAGAATCGATGGCTGCAAACGTAAGACCGAACATCATCGACACAGATTTCACTCTCGATCAAATGATCGATGCCTTCTCTTCTAAAGGCTTGTCCATTCAAGATCTCGTTGTCCTCTCTGGTATCAAACTATCAATCAATGTTTCTAAACGCTTTTTATCAATTTCCCCAAAATGTTTTGCTAAACTCTAACAGAGTATGAAACAGAGTTTGCTTCAAGCCTACACGAATTGACTAAGCCGGATTGGTCATTCAATTTACTCTTTGGTTAAGTCAATTCTTGTTGTAGCAAACTCTGTTAAACTCCTCAGATTCTTCTTTTATACTTGCATTTAGGAGCACACACGATTGGAGCATCACACTGTAACGCATTCAATGGAAGGTTTCAACGAGACTCGAAAGGAAACTTCGAGCTAATCGACGCGTCTCTCGACAACTCCTACGCAGAGACACTAATGAACAAATGTTCGTCCTCGGAATCCTCGTCATTGACAGTGAGCAACGATCCAGAGACATCTTCCATATTCGATAATCAGTACTATAGGAATCTGGAGACTCACAAGGGTTTGTTCCAGACGGATTCTGCTTTGATGGAGGATAATCGGACGAGGACGATGGTGGAGGAATTAGCGAGTGATGAGGAAAGTTTTTATCAGAGATGGAGTGAGTCGTTTGTGAGACTGAGTATGGTTGGTGTGAAAGTTGGTGAAGATGGTGAGATAAGACGTTCTTGTTCTTCCATTAATTGAAAACATTTCTGCTTCTTAATTAATTTGACCCAATTTGGATAGTTAGTATGTAATGTTATGTTATCTCCCAATTTTTATTTTGATAGTTTTGGTACTTGAAAATCAATCGTCTTTTAGTTGTCGAGACAGATCCTCTTTCTAAAGCTGCGTGTAATATGGGAAACACATTTTTCGATTTGGAGGAGTCTTTGAATCCTAAACGAGACGGAAACTAATATTAATATATGAAAAGATTAACCAATATTATCGGCATCAAATTATTTTTTTTAATTTTGACAAACGAGCTTTCATATATAAGAACAACAACTTTTAAAATTGTATATTTTATAAAAAACCATGAGCAGCAAGAAAGTGAAATAAATTATTTACTAGTGACTTTTGGCTATGTGTAAAGGTTATTGTTGTATGATCGCTAAGAGGACGTGAGATAAATCAACGATAGAACATCATCTGCATGTGACAGCCACGTGTCGAAATCCAGTGAGAAGGACGGTTGATTCATTCTAACTTGGGTTCACCGTAAAGTTGACAAACCCAAACAAAATAAAATAAAAAGGAAGGAATAATAATGATCTTTTTAGGAATACAATTAGGCCCACGAAATTTTCTATTTGCTTATATAGAGATGACATAAATATATTTCTTTCTCTTATTACCCACGTACTTATCCTTAAATTTAATCATTATTATTATTAATTGCTAATAATGAAAAATAAAAATTAGATAATAATTGTATCCATAATTAATTGTCTACAAAATGGAGTATCAAATTTCAAAAGGTTAGCTGTTTGTTCGTCATATTAATTTCTCTAAGTTTGTCAAAAACGAAGACCACAGCGATTGCAGGATCCCTAAATATTGTCGGGGCGTTGAATCTTACAAATTTGCTAGTGTATATTCTCGTCAAATCTGTATCTTCCTTCTTCCTTCTTCTTCTTCTGGTACGCTCTCAGTTCTCCCCCAATTTTTCGATCTGATCGTGCTCAATCCATTGCCATTTCCATTTATCTGCTCATATTTTTTGCTCAATCCATTTATATTTCCAATTATCTGGTCATTATTTGTGCTGTGGATAGTCGTTCTGGATTTTATATTCAAGCAGGACTCGATCTCGTCACTGGTTTTATATGTCTGTTGGTGATTCTTGACATATTATTGTTTTCGACGTTGTTTAGGGTTTGATTGGCGGACGAAGGAAGCTGAATCAGAGCTTCAGATTTGAATTTGATCTTTGATTTTGTTCCGGTTAAGTCACGACGAGGCTTTGGTGTTTGGAGCATTTCTGAGGAATTATGGGATATCTGAATTCTGTTTTGTCATCTTCGAGCCAGGTTCACTCCGACGATGGACCTGTTAGCGGCGGCGGCCTCAGGTTCACTTTTCTCCTTCTCCCCAGCTTAAATTATTGTTATAGGATTAAGAATGTAACAAGAAATTATAGATATGTGTGGAATTCACATCTTTCTCTTAGGTGGATAGAGGAGTTTCTTACCTTTAGTAATGTCTCTCTTATGTTGGAGAATCATGTCCTAGCTGCTGGTTTGAAACTTCGTCTTGGCTGATTTCTTCTGCTAACTCTGGCGTTATACTTATCTTTGCTGGTGTGAGTTAGGGAGTTATTTTGCAAAATAATAACTCAATAATACATGTCTCTCCTCAATAGTAGAACTTGTTCTTCGAATATAAGTAGATCTGTGATTATAAGTTTAGGCATTGGCATCCTTCCTAGAAATGTGACTGTAGATGCTGCTGTTGCTGTCAAATTTTTTTTTTAAAACATTCTTATGTGATGACTTTCATATACTTAATATGTACAGTCAGAATGGGAAGTTCAGCTATGGATATGCAAGCTCTCCCGGTAAAAGATCTTCAATGGAGGACTTCTATGAAACTAGGATTGATGGCGTTGATGGGGAAATTGTTGGTCTATTTGGAGTCTTTGATGGTATACATGTCTCTCTAGTTTACATGAACTAAATTATTGCCGACTATATCTTGCATGTGACAATTTCTAGTACTATTTAAAGTTTCTATCATATGCAGAATTGTATATCACTTTACATTATGTAGAAGTAGACATATTACTCTCAAGTTATATAGTAATTCGAGATTTAGTAAGGTCTGGTTTCACTTGATTTATAAGAACCATAGTTCATTGATGTCTACTGATCAAATAGTAATCGTACGTGAATATGATATCGTCTTTAATTACTTTTTACATGTTAAGGTGCTCTAAAGATGGCAATGTAGTGATATAGCTAATCTTTATTTCCAGGACATGGAGGTGCACGTGCAGCTGAATATGTGAAGCAAAATCTGTTCAGTAACCTGATCAGGCATCCAAAGTTCATATCTGATACCACAGCAGCCATAGGTTCTTTTCACTTTTAATCTTGTTAGCTAGATGATTCATTAAATAGACCCAGCAAGGTGCCGTAATTCATCCTTGTGATTTTTTTCATTTGCTTGCAATCTCATTTCAGCTGATGCATACAACCAAACAGACTCAGAGTTCCTTAAATCAGAAAATAGTCAGAACAGAGATGCTGGTTCAACGGCGTCAACAGCCATCTTAGTTGGTGACCGTTTACTTGTTGCAAATGTCGGGGACTCTAGAGCTGTTATATGCAGAGGTGGCAATGGTAATGCTTGTTCATTTTTTTTATTACTTTCCTTTTTTTTTGAATTTGAATGGAGATTAGAAGACTCTTCTAAGTGATTTATACCAAATGCCCCTACTTAGAGGATTAGACATTGCATCCAGTTCGACCAAGTCATTAGGTGTTGATTATTAAGAGGTCCAAAGGGAAACATAAAATGATAGTTTGTCAAACAGTATATGCAGGTCTTCGAGTCATAACTTACCCCACATAGTTATTATCACATGATAGCCCTTGTACATGAAATTTGCAATAAGTAGCGCTGTTTTGTATGGTACTAATACAATTATTTTGTCAAAGCTATTGCTGTATCCCGAGATCACAAGCCTGATCAAAGTGATGAGCGCCAAAGAATTGAGGATGCAGGAGGCTTTGTCATGTGGGCTGGTAAGGCAACATTTAATGGAAACTTCTCTTCTTATCTGTGTTTATTTCATTTTCTTAATTGGAATTATGCTAAAAGGAACATGGAGAGTTGGAGGAGTTCTTGCTGTTTCTCGTGCATTTGGCGATAGGTTGTTGAAGCAGTATGTTGTTGCTGATCCGGAGATACAGGTATTGACTTTGCGCTAAAATCTCCTCCCATATATAAAAATAACGACACTTTGTTATTAACAATTTAACTTAACCTGCATTGGGTTTAAAATAAGGTAGCTAAGGAATTGACAGAGTGACTACTTTGTGTTCCCACATACCCACATTGTAGACTATTTTCTAGAATGGCACTTTACCAATCTCCCTTCGTTCACTCATTAATTAGCATATATGGAAATTTCAGGAGGAAAAAGTCGATAGCTCTCTCGAGTTTCTCATTCTTGCAAGTGATGGTCTCTGGGACGTTGTATCTAACGAGGTAGGACATGTCGTTTGATTTCTAAACTTCCCAATCCTCGGACTTGAAAACTCATCTCTGTTAAATTCTTATCCTCAGGAAGCCGTAGGCATGATCAAGGCGATAGAAGATCCCGAGGAAGGTGCAAAGAGACTGATGATGGAAGCTTACCAAAGAGGAAGTGCAGACAACATAACTTGTGTCGTAGTACGTTTCTTTTCAGACCAAGCAGGAGGAATAGGTTCCAGCAGCACCAGTGTCCCAATCGATCATGGTATCATACCTGACCGAATCTCCGGTGACTCATCAACCTAGTTCTAACATTGGCAACGTTCATTCGGATTTCGTGATCTCAAAACAAGTGAATCTGGGAGATTATATATTGTTATAAAAAGGTCGAAGGTTTTCAAGAATATACAGACAAAACTCTTCACACGAACGTTTTTTTCTGTGTCGTGTATCTTTTGTTGTTGTTATACATTTGTTAAATTGGGCATGTAGCTAAACATAGAATAAATGTATTAGTACAAGTTCTGATTCATTCTACCTTCTGTATGCAAAATTTGTAGTTTCATGGATACACCTGATTTTACAACATAAATATCCATCCATCAAAATTGTAAATGAATATGTGAAATTGTGAATGGCATTAACAAAAATATTAGTTAAAAGGTATACACTTATATAAAATACAAAATAGTAAAAGCAAAAGTTGCAACTGCACCTAACAACACCAGGCTAACCAATCCACCTGACTAAGATTCAACCTTAAAAACCTGATATTCTCTATTTCAGTCCCATTTTTTGACCCAACACAGCGAGCTGCTCAACAAGCTCAGTTCCAGTAAGGATCTCTGTGGCTCCATATATAATGTTCTTAACCATCTCTTGTCGCTGCGAGAGCTCCTGCAAACTGCTATATTCGATGTAGTTACCTGCACCAATCATGAAAACTATGGCTTCTTTGAAAGGCCCCTTCACATAACTATTACCACTAGATCCTGACTTTGAAGCTCTCGGATCCAGCATGAGGTATGAATCGGTTTCTGGGTTTGGTTTTCCCTCAGTTAAGGCTTCAACTGTCCGCGCCACCGCCAGTTGCTGATCACTTGATAAGAGATTCTTGACCCCTGCAGTGACCGCGCTTATAGACTGACCATAAAGCTTCTCAGCCCAGTCAACAATGTTGCTTCTGCTTGCTGAGGCTGCCAAAGACACATTCAGCGACTTGATCTTTTTCACATACTGAAACGCTCTTGTATCGGCCTCAGCTTCACGCAATGCCGCTTCCACGGCTTCAACTTCAGCCTGGTTGATGGTTTCCAAGGAGATTAGGTACATGATGGCAAATCGTAACTTGTCCATTTTGGTACCCTTCCCTTTCAAAACAGATAGAAGCTCGCTCCTGTCTATGCTGCCTCTCACCATCATCTCATTCTCTTTCTTAGTGTATGCATCCAGAGATCGCTCCTTGATCTCTCCTAGCAGCGCAGTCGCAATGTTGGTGTGCTTGTCAATCACCTTCTTTCTCTCTGTCAACTCCGGAAGTGAGTTGACAGCATTCATCAGATGCTTGGTGTTCCCAATCAGATCAGCCCCATCAAACTCTGCACTCCCGTTCCCACCTCCAGTTCTCCTGTTAACCTCTTCCACGTCTTTTTTGTACTTATTCAACTGAGTTTCGATTTCTACAGCGACTTCAGGAAACTCTAAAGAACCATTTGCTGACCAGAACGGGTCTGAACTGTCTACAAATGTTTTCTTATCATCTTTTTGGCCAGGCAATTTCAAACTGTTGAGCTTTAGACCCAAAACATCATGAACAAGAGGCCTGTATCTGAAATCATGCTGAATCCCAACCGAGAGTTCAAAGTTTCTATCGAAAATACACAACAAAGGCCGCTGAAACGAACTAATGAAACCGCCTCCACCTTCGGTAAACAGATTGATCTTAGACAGAAGATGATCCCTCAGTTTCTGATCCAACGAAGATGCAACCATCTCCGCTGGTCCACCACGAGGACATCGGATTACAGGCACCACACCAAGCGTTGCCAATACACAGAACAGCCCATTAGCGACCTTTTCGATAATCTCCTCGATCTCTCTATCTCCTGCTGATGGATCATTCAACTGAAGATAGATAGATTCCTGAGCCAAAGAAAACATGTTATCTTCCAAAGTAACAAACTCGAGATACTGATCATGCACCGTTGCAAGTCTCTCAGTGGAACCGGAATTCAGAGTCGCAGAAGCGAGAGTTTCTAGGAGCGGGCGAGGGATACGATACGAGAAATTCAGATGATAGGAATGGTAAAGAGATCTAGAAGCATCTGCAATGATTCTCTGGATGTTGGATTCAGTGGGTTGAAGAAAGTAGACAGCTGCAGCATCACGAACAGCTTCTCTCTTTTTGTTGATGGACAAGGGAAGTGTAACTCCTTGTTTACGAAGATCCTTCACTTGCATCAGAGGAGCGATAATCTTCTCACAGAAATCGTCGTAGATCAAGGCCTTGTAACATTCCTCGTTTGGATTCAATGGTTGATTCAGGTTCAGCATCCGGATTATACATTCTGCGATCGGATGAAACAAAAAATGTACAACATCAATGATCAACCCCAAAAAAATGTAAAACGAAATACGAAATAATAATCACTAAAATTGAGACCATTAAACATATTAGATTCGAAGAGAAAACGTTACCCATCTGTTTGTTGCGGAGATTGAGAGCCATGGAACGGTTACTTGAAAGAAAATGTGTTAGGGAAAAATCTGAGTCTCTCTGACACCAATGAAGAAACGAAGCTCAATATACAGTTTTGAAGACGATGGCGTAACCGTAAATAAAATGTTTAAGATAATCAATTGGGCTATTCCCATCAAGGCCCAGGCCAAAAGCTGAAAAAAAATGATCAAGGAAAACCAAAATCGGTATTGATGATTTTGACTCTGTTGCTGCTCTTCAAAAACTGACTCACCTCAAAAATAGCTAATGAATATGATCACTTTAGCTTCTCATAGTTAGTACATGTGTGACCGAATAATTACTTGTTTTTTCATACGTCCCAGGCGAGTCCATCGATGTGGAAACACATTTTGTTTACTGAAAAAACGAGGTATTGTATATTGTGGAACATATATAAGAAAACATTAGTTGGGAAATGATAATACAAAGTGACTCAAGTTTAGAGAGAGAAAGCAGAACTGCAGAACAAGAAGGAAATAAGGTGTATTTTAGTAATCCTTATGGGTTAGTATCGAGTTACAAATGCTCACAGGGGGTCGGTATTGAACTAGATATTATTGTCTATAATTGATAAGCTATCAACTCTGTGGACCAAGAATGCAAAACTAGCACTAGGGAAGATGATTACACACTCCTGCTTTGTGGTGAGAGATGATGTTAGCCACTCCCTGATTTCAAGGTATTACTCAACCTGAAGGAGAAGAAGCATATTATATGAGAGTTTTGCTGAACAAAAACTTTCTGGGATTATTTCTCATGCGCTTACCAGTCTAAGCCCTCGAAAAGTCCTTCCCCTTTCACAGCACAAGTTTTGAAGATTGCCCATTGACGGCTCTTTATCTTGTGCAACTCCAAGGCCTCTGTCACAGCTGCATCGTCGAGTGCACCTGGTAGATCCTGTTATATCACATTAACAGAACTGTCATTACATATATGCAAAACCAAACAAATGTGGTACTGCTTCTCTCTATAACAGTGGCCTTGGTGAATTTATTAGAACTTGACGGTGAGGTAAACAGCTTGACATAGGTAATACTAACCTGCTTGTTTGCAAATATAAGAACCATTGCACCTTTCAGTTCCTCTTCCTGTATATAGGTTCCAAAACACGAAATAGCCTCAGTGATAAAAGCATTCTCTAGAGGCAAAAATCAAAACTTCCACAAGAGCAGCTCTGAAATGATACACAAAAAAAAACTGTACAGCAAGTCATGGTCACCAGTTCCCTTCCCAAGAATGTCTAATTATGACTACACCGGCTTTGACTTTTCCCCTCAGCTACTAACCAGAGAGATCTCAGGTTGGTGTCATCAACCGCAAGGCTTTTTGACATTCTAAGAACATTGAGTAGCAACATTTATAGCGTCCAGAACAGTTTCTAAACAGAGCTGGTATTGTATACCCAGTAGAGCTACCACCACCGTGAAAGTGTAACCCTCATCTATCAAGAGAGTAATAAACCAATTACATCGGAAGAGGAAACTTTAGCAGTAGTTTACCTCCAAAATTGCATGGAACTCCTCTTTCGCCACTCCGATTCTATCTGTATCACTCGAATCAACAACATAAATCACTGCTTGTGTATTTGGGAAATAGCATCTCCAATATGGCCTTATGCTCGTTTGTCCACCTGTTAACAAGAAAATTCTAGTTAATCATTCTCCAACGAATCAATTAAATATATCAAAGCAACTGTGGTAAATAGTGACCAAAGTAAGAATCTACAAAATTTGGTTGAGGTACAAAGAGTGCATGAAAATTATGCAGAGCAATGGACTACAAAGAGCTAAAACCACAAGAATATGTTTTAAGTAATTGCCTTCAAATAAATCTGGAACTCTTTCTCATCCATATTTAAAATAAGAGTCTCATTAAGTCACAGTTATTCATCAGTATAAGATCACTGACATCGTTTTACAATCTTTCCATATAAAAAACTCTAGTTTCTCAAGTGACATTAGAGTTAGATCTGCTATCATGGGCCCTTGAAATCTACTAGTCAACACTAAAGAAGACTAAGTGGACATATAAGTGCACGCTTTGATCTAAGATCAATCTAATGTTATATATCATCTTCATTAGCGAAACGTACCTAAATCCCAGACCTGAAACTTGATATTGTTGTACTGCACTGTCTCGACGTTAAATCCAATAGCTGCAGATAGGGAACAACATGAAATCAAATCAGCTGCCTTCGAAATGTCATCAGATTCAGCAGCTCCAAGATCCGACGCATAAATTCAATGAAACGAACCAAAATTGATGATAAAATGGAGAGAAACACATACTCGGAATCGTGGAGACTACCTCTCCCATTTGAAGCCGATCTGAAACACACAGAGTCCACGCAGAAATGCAACTCAAGACACAAAAAAACATTGAATCGAAAATCATAGCTACTTAGATATCTCAAAGTAATCACAAGTGCGTTTAGATTCAGAGAGAATGATTTACAGAGGATTGTGGTTTTTCCGGCATTGTCGAGGCCGAGGACGAGGATACGAGCTTCTTTGTTCCCAAATACGGAAGAGAACAACTTCGTGAACACGATTCCCATCTTCTTGTTTCTTCTGATCGGAATCAGATCATACGATCTAAGAAAGATTCGTCTCTTCGACCATTGAGCTCTCTTCACAGAGAGGAGAAGACAATGGAAGACGAAGAATTCCGAAACACTCTAAATTAACTAGCGGTACACATATGGGCCTAAACTTATTATCTGAGCCCACTAATATGTTGATAACCAACCAACATAACGATTCTCATTTCTTGGACTTTTTATCTAACTAGTCCACAATCATATCATATGAAAGTTTTTTATTTATGTACACCAAAAAAAAAGAGATTTATTATATTTGAAATTCACATCATATTTTAAATTTTAATTGTGTATCAAAGTTATGATTGCTAGAACTTAGAATATAAAGAACAACACTTCTTTATTAGATTTAGAAACTCTCACAAAACTAAATCTCTTCTCTCTAAGTCTCATAGAACATCTCTCCATGAACCCTTGTATTTATATAGAACTTGGACATCTCCCAAGTCTATTTGGATTTGGTTAAACACAAACTCTATCTAGATACTTTATCATTATCTAAAACATATTTGTGAATATCCTTACTTATCTCTAGAAGCTTCTTCTTCTAAGAGATAACTTCTTCTTTAAGTCTTGAATTATCCAACATTCTCCCCCTTAATTCCAACTTGAATTTTGGGAGTCTTGATCTCTTCAACACCGATTAGGTCCCGCATTTCCTTGAACTTGAATCTTCCCAATGGCTTGGTAAGAATGTCCGCCTTTTGGACCTCTCCGGATACATGCTCAACTTCGATTTGTCCGTCTTCCACACATTCCCGAATAAAATGATACTTCGAAAGTATGTGCTTACTTCTCCCATGAAACACCGGATTCTTGGTCAAAGCTATAGCCGATTTATTGTCAATCCTTAGTAAGACCTTCTCGCCTTCAACGCTTAGTATCTCACTCAACAATTCTTTAAGCCATATAGCTTGTTTCGCGGCTTCCGTAGCTGCCATGAATTCCGCTTCGCATGAGGACAATGCGACCTTAGGTTGCTTTTGTGATGTCCAAGTAATCGGTGATGAACCAAAATAGAAAACGTGTCCCGCGGTGCTTCTTCCGTCGTCAATATCAACATTGTGACTACTATCACTATATCCGGTGATTCTCCTTGACCCGTCTCTCTTGAAAAACAAACCAAAGTTTGTTGTTCCTCTTACATACCTTAATATATGCTTGACCGCAATCCCATGAGAATTTCTTGGACTTTGCATATACCGGCTTAGAACTCCAACAGCAAAGGAGAGATCCGGTCTTGTGTGTAGGAGGTACCTAAGACAACCAATGGTTCGTCTATACTCGGTTGCATCAATCTCTGGTTCTTCTTCCAACTTGTTAATCTTTTGACTTGGATGCATTGGTGTATGAGTCAAGTTACACGATTCCATCTTAGCATTAATAAGAATTCCTTGAGCGTATCTTTCTTGCTTTATCTTTATCCCATCCACTCCTTGAATCACTTCTATGCCAAGATAATACGTTAACTTCCCTAGGTCCGACATCTCGAATTTCTTTGACATATCTTCTTTGAATTCGTTGATGACCTTAAGTGTGGTTCCCGTCACAAACAAATCATCCACGTAGATAGCCACAATCAAGACGTCCTTCTTGTCGTTCTTCCGATATACCGTCGGTTCCTTGATACATTTGTTGAAGCCCATCTCTCTTAAGACTTGGTCGAGTTTTACATTCCATGCTCTAGGAGCTTGTCGTAAGCCGTATAGAGCCTTGTAAAGTCGATACACTCGATCTTCCTCACCTTTCTTCACAAAACCCTCCGGTTGAGTTACGTAGACTAACTCCTTTAAGTCTCCGTTTAAGAATGCAGTTTTCACGTCTAGGTGGTGAATCTCCCAACCAGTTGTTGCTGCTAAGGCTATGAGAAGGCGTATAGTTTCGAGACGTGCCACCGGAGCAAACACTTCATCAAAATCTATGCCTTGTTGTTGTACATAGCCTTTAGCTACAAGCCTTGCCTTGTATTTATTAACCGAGCCATCCGCTTTCTTCTTGATCTTATAAATCCACTTAAGACCAATAGGTTTAACATCAACCGGTTTATCAACGAGTTCCCATGTCTTGTTCTTGAGAATTGAATCCAACTCGGCTTGCATTGCATCAATCCATTCCTTTTGATGTTCAGCTTCAAAGTAATTTTCGGGTTCTCCGTCTACCGTAAGTAGTAACCTACCACTTTCTTGTTCTGCAAGCAACACATAATCATCAAGGTAGCTAGGTTGTCTTATCGTACGGCCATATCTAGTCACTACTTGTTGATTCTCTGCTCCTTGATTCATGGCATTGTCAACATGTTCCTCTTCTTCTACCTCTTCTTCTACCTCTTCTTCCTCGTCTTGGTCTATAGGATCTTGATCCGGATTATGGTTTTCATTGGCTTGATCATCACCATATCCATCTCCATTATCTATAATACCTCCACAAGTGAGTTTAAACCTACCCGGTTCATCATTGGATTCATTTGTTGTAGATGACCAGTTCCAAGCTTTCTTTTCATCGAAGACCACGTCTCTACTAACAATTACTTTCCTTGAGACCGGGTCATAGAGTCTATAGGCTTTAGAACCCGGCTCGGTTCCAAGATTGACCACGCTCCTTGACCTTTCATCTAGCTTCTTAAGATGTGGTCCATTGATTTTAGCGTAGGCCATACAACCAAAGACTCTCAAATGTTCTATGTTCGGTTTCTTGAACGTGAAGCACTCGTAAGGCGTTTGACCCTTCAAAGCCTTAGTAGGAACTCGATTAATGAGGTAGGTTGAATGACGAACAGCTTCTCCCCATAAGTGATTCGGAATCCTCATTGCCTTAAGTAAGCTTCTTGTCATCTCCATTAATGTCCGGTTTCTTCTTTCAACTACACCATTTTGTTGTGGTGTGTAAGGAGCAGTAAGATGTCTTGTTATTCCTTTTTCTTCACAAAAGGAAGTGAATTGAGCTGAGGTAAACTCTCCTCCTCTATCGGTGCGAAAAGTTTTCACGGTTAACCCGGTTTGTTTCTCCACAACTTCTTTAAACTTTTTAAACCGATCGAACGCCTCACTCTTTTCCTTTAGCAACATGGTCGACATGTACCTAGAAAAATCATCAATTAAGACGAATACATACCGGTTGTTAGCTGGTGTTGGTGGTGAGATTGGCCCGCATAAGTCGCCATGAACTAATTCCAATGCTTGTGCTGCACGGAAGCTTGTTTTTATCGGAAATGACTTTCTTGTTTGTTTTCCGGCTAAGCACACGTCACACACACTCTTTTCATGTAGAGTTCGTGGCATTCCTTCGACCATCTCCTTTTGTACCATATTATTCATGACACCAAAGCTCACATGTCCAAGTCTTGAGTGCCACTTCCATGTTTCTTCATCATCACGTAAAAGTAGACACATTGGACTGCTTATTTTCATCGGGGTTTTGTAGAGTCGGTTTGGAGATCTTGTGACTCTTACAAGCAACTTTCCACATGGATCACTTAGTGTTAACATGTCTTCTTTCATGTGTACTTCGCACCCACCTTCAGTTGCTTGTCCAAGACTCAATATGTTGTGTTTTAGCTCGGGTATGAGATAGATGTCTTTGAGAGCTCTTTTCTCTCCGGTCTTGCACACAAAGACAATCGTTCCTTTGCCAATGATATTCACACACGAGCCATCGCCAAACCTCACTTTACCTTTTACGTTCTCATCTAGGCTTGAGAAGAAATCTTTGTTCCCCGACATGTGGTTACTTGCACCGGTATCTAAATACCAAATACTCGAGTTGTTATTATTATCATAGTTCTTAGGGATTACCTTATCTTCGTTAAGGAACACGACTTCATGGACATATAAGGCATCGGCTTCTTGTGTCTCGTTTAGGTTAGCTTCTTGGTTTTGCATTGGTTTCTCGGGACATGTCAATGCAAAGTGACCCGCTTTGTCACATCTCCAACATATTACCTTGGAACGATCTCTTTTCGATTTTGGTTTTTCTTCCGCAGCTGTTGCTCCTTGATCTTGGCTATTGAATCTCCCTCGACCCCTACCTCTACCAAAGTTTCCTCTGCCCCTACCAAAACCTCGTCCTCCTCTGTTTCCGTAACCTCCTCTGTTTCCGCCGTAGCCTCCGTGGCTATTGTTTGAAAACAAGAGTTTACTTTGATCCTCTCCTTGAGTCTCATCCCTTATACGCTCATCGTAAGCTTTTATTCTCCCTACTATTTCTTCAAATCCCGTTGTTTCTAAGTCTAGGACTTGCTCAAGAGAAGCTACAATTTGTATGAATTTTCCTCTAGGAAGACTTGTCAAGAACTTCTTCACCAACTTCGTTTCGTCAATTGTATTTCCGAGAGACGCAGATTGGGAAGCTATTCCCGAAATCTTACCCGCAAAGTCATCAACCGAGTCGGTGTCTTCCATCTTCAACCGATCGAGTTGTGACATTAGGGTTTGGAGTCTTGCCACTTTAACACGGTCTGCTCCCTGGTGACGAGATTTGATCGCAGCCCACAGCAGCTTTGCCGTGCCTTGTTCTCCAATTTGTAGGATGAGGCTCTCGGGGATTGATTGAAATAGAAGAGCTGTCGCTACATTGTTCTTCTTTCTGTCCGTTGATCCTGGTTCTATGGTGTCCCATACTTCGCTTACACTTAACAAGATCTTCATCCTCATCGCCCAAACTGTATAGTTTGTTGTTGTTAACATAGGGCATTGGATTGTTGGGGCTCCAATGTCTTTTGTTCGTGTTGAAGGTTCCACGTCTCCCATCTTGGATACGTGAAGCTTTGATCGTCGTCTTCGATCGGTACTTCTCCTTCAAGCTCTGATACCAATTCAAAGTTATGATTGCTAGAACTTAGAATATAAAGAACAACACTTCTTTATTAGATTTAGAAACTCTCACAAAACTAAATCTCTTCTCTCTAAGTCTCATAGAACATCTCTCCATGAACCCTTGTATTTATATAGAACTTGGACATCTCCCAAGTCTATTTGGATTTGGTTAAACACAAACTCTATCTAGATACTTTATCATTATCTAAAACATATTTGTGAATATCCTTACTTATCTCTAGAAGCTTCTTCTTCTAAGAGATAACTTCTTCTTTAAGTCTTGAATTATCCAACAGTGTATCGTCCAATAAAAAATAAATACAGTTTTTTTTTTTATTATTATTCACAGTGTTTGTATGTCTAACGCGGTCTAAATCGCATAGCTACTATAAAGTAAACAATTACAAAGTCGAGGAAAAAAGTATAACGTACGGAAATATATACGATAAATGATAATAATAAAGTTAGAATGAAAATAAATATACAACAAATGAATAGAAAAGAAAAAGGAAACACCAAATGGAAGAGAATTTGTTTGGAAGTTTGTTTAATAAGACGCGGCTACTCGGCGTCTCGAAAGAGCTCAAAGGTGTGAAAAATGTCAAAAGAGAATCTAATGCTTTTTGTTATCTTATGATAAAATCAACCCATCTACTATCTGAAACGTGTCCCATATTTGACACACAGATTAGCTAAACTAGATACGCAAAAAAAAAAAGGGGATTAATGGAGAATATTAGTTTCTCATTTAAAAGATTTTCTGAAAAAGAAATATAATGGAGAATAACAGTTTCTCATTTAAAAGATTTTCTAAACGTTAATTACAAATGCAAGCTCTCCAGATCCGTTGACTAGATATATTTGTGTAATTTATTAATAATCTAATATGTGCATGAGAATCAGACTGTTTTTTTTTTTTTTTTGGGAAACATCTTTGCAAGTCGAATAGTATTTTAAAAGATCTTTGTAGTAATCTAAATTTTGAAAGATTTCGTAGTAGTAAACCTTTAGACTTAAAAGTTTTGGAGAACGGCCGATATAATTAAAAAAAATCGCGTGGAAGTGGAACTACTCTATCAATGATTTTTTCTTATAGCCTAGTAGTAACATTATGTTATAGTGATTTTTAAAGGATTAAAGAAAAACTGTCGGCGATGTATGTTTTTGTTCATAAATCTAAGTTTTAGATGTATTGACCTAAAATTTTCATGACCTAAAATTATATACGTAGTCAACGTTTGTTTCTGATGATTTTCTTCTTAATCTGCTTGTAAATACAGCAAATGTTTCTAAATGTTTTTATTAAGACTACACCTCATAAATCTCTTCGAATGAGGAAAACATATCTTGCCAAATTAAAACGGGAAAGAAAGCGAAAATTGGCGTATATGGATCAGACAGCTCTGCTGTCGACAGATTGAAGTACTTTTTGTTTTGACAGCCAACAGTTTGAAGTACATGCAAGGTTTTTTTACAGTACAATTTTTGTGATTGTGTGTAGTATTCAACCTAACCACCAGATGAAATTTCTGAATTAGCAGGTATTTCCACTCAAAAATGTTAAAAGTTATTTAATCAATATATTAAGGTTGTAACAATATATTTTCAAAAATGTATGAATCCAAATAAATGTAGGAATTGGTTGGAACAATCGAATCCTAAATATAATATGGATGTACACACATGTCCACGTATGAAACCGCATTTACAATATTTGTTTTGGTGAAGTGACTAAATATTTCCTCAAACTACAAAATTTTGGAATAAAAGGATTTAATAGATCAAACGATAAACACTACAGAACAAGTAAAAAAACCCCAAAATTTTGCTCTCTAGTAAAATTTAGTTACATTCCTAGGAATCATGAGAAGGACAATTCCCCAGGAAACTCTCAAAAAGAAGAAGAAAAAAGACGTAAATTAAGAAGAACAAAAAAGTTAAAATATAAAAAAAGGTTCAGTGACTTGTAGTTGTTGTTTCGTCGGTATCTTTCACTTTCTCTTCACCTTCTCTCATCTTCTCTTCCTCTTTGGCAACACTTTCCTCCTGAGAAATCACCATTTTACCCTCGTGACCACCACACGTACATTTTTTCATCGCCGGTGTTGCGAGATACCTCGGCAAGTCTTCTCCGGCCATTATGACAAGAAACTTCTCCTCGTAAGCTCCTTTCGCCGCCTTATCTCCAGACCGACTCTCTTTCTCTTCATCGACGTTCTGACCATCTCCTTCGCCGGAGGAAGACAGGCGCCAGTAAGAGCAAGCGAGGATGAGAAGAGCAAAGGCGATTAGTCCTAGCATCGCCGCTAAACCGCCGAAGAGGTAAGGAACCGGCGAGTGCCACGGTGATTGCGGCGTCACTCCGTGGTGATTCACCGAGGTTGATGTCGCCACATCTTCAAACTTCGACTGTACGCTCAACGGTCTCATTTTTGTTGTTGTTGTGCAATCTCTTTTGTTTCTCTCTGATTTGTGTTGTGTGTGTTTGGAGATAATTTCCTCTACTTTGGTTTTTATTTTTCTTAACTTGATGTGGAAAAAGGAAAGATGAGTAATTGAGTATGAAACAGAGGAGAAGGTAAAGAGATATATTTATAGGTCTACGCAACTTGGGGACAAAGAAAGTGACGGTCATATTTAATTGATGGAATTTAGTGGAACCAACTCTTTTTCTTAACCCTAGTGAACTCAACGTATGTATCTTTATTAAAGAAAATAACGTATTTATTTCTTAAAAACGCCCCACAAAATATAAGTATTTCATTAAAATGATTTACCCTACATGGTAATTTTTATGAATGGTTACATTCATTTAAAAGCAATCAAGACATTGACGATGCTTTTAGACGCCATAAGTCTTCAAGTGTCTCTAATAGCCTAATTTGATAACCATATTTTAAGCGGTGCGGTAAAATTGTACATAGTAAAAAAGCATTTGTATTAAATATATAACTTAGTGATTGAATATGATTTTGATTAATTAGTAACATGAAGTTGGCAAAATTGATTACAAAAAGAAACAAAACTTACATACAAAAAAATGTTGAATACTGTAAAAAGTTACAGCTGGACAAGTGAAATTGATGAAATCTCTTCTCTTGGGATTGTTAGTTAATTAAAATTTAATGTTGACAAATAAAAAAAAAGGGACAGTGTTATATAATTAATCGTTTCATTTCATATATCAACAGAACTGGACAGCTAACCACTTTTTATTTTTCATTATTTTGAAAACAATAAAATACGGTGATTTGAGAGTTGATACTTGATAACTTGATATATACATAGTCCGTACAGATAGAGGCATATTTTGAAATCGATGTATTATCCATTTCACGTAGACATTTTAATATATGTATATATTATATCTTAGCAAAAAAAAGATTCATATCTTATAATGTAGCTAATCAGGACATAGTGAAAGAGCATTTTAGATTTGGGGGTGTAGTGGAATATGACAATGTTTTCACGATAATAATAGCGAACAAAGATTATTTGAAAGAGAGTGAGATTGTGGGTTAAAGTGCCAACAATTTCATTTTGTTTTTCTTCTTATTTCCAAAATTTCAATTGGCTTTGGTGCTTTTGACTTGACATATTTATATTAGCCTATCTCTCTTCTTTTCTTGCTCTCTAGCCAGGCTATATATGTGATGATTTCTTCTTCTTTTTTTTTGCATTATGAGATATGGATAAGTTCATAAGATTATTTAAGATCTCATGTTGTTTATGTGGTGAAGCACCAATCTTATAGATTGTTATTGAAAGTGCAGATATTGTTGGAACACTATTGAAGCTGTTGGAACAAGATCGAGATTGAGTCTTTCTAGCGTGAAAGCAAAGAAGGCCACGTGGGTCGTGGGCCATTGTTCAAGTTAAGCCCAATTGCTTGTAGAGACTTGAAGTGTGGCTTAAGTCTTCTAGAGTTATTGGCACTTGATATAAATACCAAGAGACGGCAACATGAAGACTTGCGCGTCTAGGGTTTATCGAGAGAGGCACACATGTTTATGACGTTGCCCCATCAACAAGATAGAGAGATCTTTTGATGGTTTTGTTGAGAAGCTATACTCGTCGGAAAAGACAATAGGAGTAGTAGTTTTCTTTCATTGTAATTCTAGAAAAGAGTGGTGGATACCATATAGCAATTGTAGGTTGCGGCCTTTTCTAGTGAATGGTTTCTGGACTTGGTCCCGGGGATGTAGGTTAACCGAACCCCGTTAACAAATCTCTTGTGTCTCATTTACTTTATGCACATACGAACTCGTTACACTCTCTCATCATACAAACGTATAGATCTAGCACACATATAATAATTTCAATTGGTATCAGAGCGGGAAACCGACCTGAGATTATTGTCTCTAACAGGTTAGATCCTGGATGTGTGGCTAGATGAGAAAGAAGAGTTGCTCTTGTTGTTTGAGAAGTAAAATCGAAATCGTTTTCCAGCGTGGTGAATTTGAAGAAAGGAAAATAAAGGGAGAATGATGAAGACGGTGGAATTGACGTCAAACTCGTCAGATTTTTTAGTGCAGTACACCGGAAGTTGCAGTACTGTTCATAGGAAGCTTCACGATTCTCTTGCCGTCGAGATTAGAAGCCGTCGAGAGAGAGTGGTTCGTTGTGGTTTGGGCTCAGTTCAAGATTGGTGGCCCAATATCTAATTTAATTAAACTAGGCCCCTAAAAAGAAGTTAATTAAATTTGGTGTAATTTTGGAAGAAAAAGCATCTTAGCACGTGTGGAATAGATGTTCTCTCCTCTTGGTTGCTTGGTTACGTGTGAATCAGATTGGGAAAATAAGAATGATCAGTCATCGAGTGTCTTCTTCTCCGTCTCTTCATGAAAACTGAAAAGAACCAAGGTAACTGACAGCACAAACCATGTCGGAAATGGTTTTTCAATTCCTTGTATTTCATGGCTGTCAGGTTCTATTGGAATGAAAAGAGAGTTTGTTTTCTCCTTTAGTCTTGTGAAATTGAAGATCTAAGTGAAAGAGGACAAAGTTGGAAAGAAAAAAAAAGTATGAATGGCACTGGAATTTTCAGAGCCCTAAGGTGAAATTTGAAGCAAAGTCGATTCATGTCATCTAGAGAAATGATGAAGAACCAAGATCTTGATCTATAAGAAAAGAGGTATACAGTAAAGCTCAGAGGAGAAGCGTTGGAATTAATTGTTCCTAGATCAGCTTGTGTTCTTAAGCTCTGAGGAATTAAAGTTTCAAAGCAAAGAGGATCAAAAGGTTGTCAGCTCCATTGGTTCATAGAGAGGATTGTCCGCAAAGAAATTGTCGCTTGTTGCTCATAGTTGTTGATCAAAATCTGGAGTGCGTCTTGATTCTGCGCCTCTGAGGGTCAAGAGAAGGATACGGGCATGGTAGACATGATGGATAAGATCCGCGAGATAAAGATGATGTTAGTAGTTCATGCCTCTATCATGTTCTGCTTTGAACAAATGAAGTCTATTAAAGCTACAAAGTGAAGTGGTGGGGTACGATGTCAACGGTCAACATCCGGACATTGTCAACATCATGTGTTTTAGTGATGATGGTCTCATTCTAAAGATGCTGGGTAAGAATCTTCTCTGTGAGTAAAACGAGGTCATCTCAGAATTTAATCAAGCTTCAAGATCTTGAAAGAAGAAGAAGAGGATTAATAAATTTTGATCTTGAAGAAAAGTGTGTTTAGAGTCACGTACAGCTATCGCTGGAAAGAGCAAGCTTCTGGCATTGCAAGAAATTGGCTATGCAATTGAGGAGATTCAAAACCGGTGAACATGAAGATCGTTTCTCAACTCACACTTAGAATATCGTGGTCGAGAAAAGCAAAGTTTCTAAAACCATGGAGGAGAAAACAAGATCCAGAGTTAAGATTAGCGGGGATGGAGCTCTCCTATGATGGGATTTCTAGTTCCTGGAAATTGTCTCAAGTCTTGGTGGTCATTGCTGGCATTAATTTGGGCATTTGAAAAGCAAAATCAAAATCTCTTGATTTGGAGCTCTTGATTGAGATGTCGGCGCATATGAGACATGGAACTCTAAAGATTCAAGAAATGAAGTGTCTTGCATCCATTATGTTTATCGTTGGAAGCTCAAGAGATTGATATTACTTTTGGTGCTTCTATGATGATTTTCAGAAAAGAGGTTGAAAATTGAGGATTTTCCTCTCAGTTGAGATGGATGTTTAAAGTCTCCCTCCCTGCAAGCCTTCTCTGTTGCAGTTTTTGTACTAACTAGAAGGTAAATGTATTGAGCGGTACTGGTGATTCTCGGTTGCAGAAAAGAAAATTAGCGTCGGGTGTATACGCTTGTTGTCTCTGTTATGCTTAAGTTTATGGGTTGTGATAATGGAGCTTACCTATTGTCGACATGTTGGCTGGCTTTGGATTTAATGGTTCTTTGGAGCAGAAATTGAGTTTGTCAGATTTTGGAAGGTTAGAAGTTTGATTCATTTGATAAGCTTTCTTGGTTTTGTGTTGTTGTATGTGTCTTGTCTTGGCTTTTTGCCTTATTGAGACACACAATCAACAAGGGGGAGAAGAAATGTTGAAACCAAAAGCTTAAGCTTCTGAGAAAAAATTGAAGCGGATCAGAGTCAAACAAGAATGCTTGTCGTCTGGTATGAAGAAAAATAAAACTTGCATTTTGTTTTTCCTCGTCGGAGGTTCGATGAAGAATGGGATCACCAGAAAAGAAATTGGTCCATTGACAGAGACACATGAGTTTGTTGTTGCCGTTGAACGTGACAGAGATAGATGGGTCTGGATTAAGTGCTTCAATGTAGAAGAGTTGCTTGATATTGTAGGAGATTCATGGAGAGAATATAAGCAAAGATGAATTTTTCATAACTCTGCAATTAATCAGTGATGGAGGCGATGCTGGTTATGACGTACATGTTGGAGGATGTGTTACTGTTGATCGGGATTGCATCGGTGCTTGTCGCTATTGGATAAGAAAGAAGAATTTTATTATGGAGAAGCTCAACGTGAACAGCAATTTCAAGAGAAAATTTTCAAAGGTTAAAGCGAAAGCTCAAGAATTTTCAGAAATTGAAACAACTTGCCTATTTGCGTTTATGGAATCGAGAAGAAGTTTCATGGAAAATCTACTGGTAATGAAAGGTCTCATCAGAATACTGTAGAAGACAGTAATGAAACAAGATAATATGAAAAGTCTACAAAGGTTGGTGAGCAAGGTCGAAAGAATATTCTCATGGTTGATTCTTGGTTCTTCGTTTTCTTTGGCTACAGACCTCGGATTTTATCTCTGAAAGACGTTCTGAAAACTTGAGAATGAGATCTTTTCAAAGATATAAAGATCATTTTCTGGTTCCTTGTGGTTTGATGGGAAATTGCTCTTACAGTTGGATGCTCGTCGGTTTGTATCGTTCCGAATCTGTCTTGCAGAATTGATCATAACTTTCAAACCGTAAACCCAAATCGTGATTCGTTTTCTCTCGTGGCTTTGTATGACTGCTGTGGATATTTTCACCAAATTTCATAATTTTCCGGGTTGATTTGCTACTCCGTTTGTGTTCTGCATCAAGACAGATCAAGAAGCATATGTTCATGAAGATTTCGTCAAGATGGGCATTTTTTTTTCATACGATGTGGTATACTCTGGCTTATATTGCTCCTGAGGCTCTAGGGAGGACAATTTTACATTTTCTAGGAACTGTTTGATTCTGGTGATCTCTAAAGTATCAGATTGTTTCAAGTTGAGGAAGGCATGAGTTGAGATCATAACGTTTTTGAGACTTTAAGTCTCAGTTTCCGCTGCAAATTACAAGACTAAGGTGTAGATTGTGTGAAGATTCCGTCTCAGTTGAATGAACCTGATACTTGTGGATATTAAGAT